GCCTTATGCTCACAGTGTTCCTCAGCTACCCTTCCTTAAAATTGGAGCTGACATTTCAGAATATGCAGGTAGGTATCTTGTACCTGTTGACTTTTATTCACGTTGGATTGATGTCTTGGGAGTCCAAAAAAAATGTATTTTTCAAATTTTATTTTTTGTTTTGTTTTTGTAAACTTAGAACTTTATGAACATTTTGCTACCAAAATTGTAAAGGTTTGACATGTTTTAACATTAATTATGAATGTTTAAAAGTTTATCTGCAGGCACCAATCTGCCCATCAAATAACAGGGCTACTGGTGCCCTGCGATTTTCAACAACAGGTTTTTTTTCGATTTCTGAAAAACCATGTTTTTTCACTTAGGTACGTATATTTCTAAAACCGTTTGAGATATCATTATGGAATTTTCACAGTCTCTTGGTCATTACCTAATACAGCTTTGGACCTAAAGTTATTAAGTTTAGGCAACATTTGTGTTCGAAATAACAAATAAATAAATAAATCAGAAAGAAAGAAATGTAGTTTAAAAACATGTTTTTAAATATATTGTCTGTACGAGTATTATTATAGTTTTACCTCCAGTTGTTAAATAGACCATAATAAACAAGCTTGCAAAATTTCATTGTGATAAGTCAAGAATTCTAAGAGTTATAGGTACCTAAAGTGTATAAATTTAACATGCATGGTATAGGGACGTTGGACTCCCCTTGTTGAACAGTAAAAACAGTAATATAGTAATTTCAATGAGCTATTTAGTCGAAATGTATTTGGTGGCTGATAACCAACCATTTAAATAATTCAGCTATGAAATGAAACAGTTTTCTATACATTTTACAATTATTATAGTTATATCAAGTCCTCACTATCCAAAAAGTCTACTATCAGAAAATCTGTGAGTTTTTTTTTAGCAACACTTGTATTTTGTTGAACGTATGTTGTTAATAATAAACAAAATAATAAGAGTTAATAAAAAAACTAACTTGAGTGTAAAAAAGAGTTTTTACTTTTTCTACGATTAAACATCGGGTATAGGACTAAGTCCAGCTCCAGCTCCAGGACCAGGTCAAAGTTCAGGTCCAGTTTCTGCTCAAGCACCGGCTCCAGCCGTTCACTGCAAGTAAACATGATACTTTATATTTCAAAATATTTTGAATTTCTCACAATGTTCTTCACGTAGTAATAATGAGTCCTATTGTAGTAGCATTTACTATTGAATACTGAAGGCAGAAGGTAGTCTGTGTTCATGCAATCAACGCACCTTATTTTCAAAACAATTTTATGATTCGCTGAATTTTAGGTCCTGATACTAAATTAAATTGAAAAAGAATAATGTTAGTATAATATAAGGGTAGGCAGAAGTATATTATAAACTGGTGCCTCGGGTCGCTCATTAAGTTTGGCGTTTTCTTGCAAAAGATGTTTCATTCTTTATTACTCCCTGAAGCCAGTTTCATCGCATGAACATTATGCTTTATACTATACTACATTTAAACCTTTTGAAGTTGAAATTAAATTAAAATATTTTGTTGAGACTCGTTTTGTAGGCATATAAAGTTAGAATCCTTGAAATTACCATGGGAAACGTAAAATGAGTGAGAATCCACACAGTTTTAACGTGCATCGTACGCATGAGTTTGGTAAAATTCATTTACATACACACTTAGTATTCTAAAAGTGTGATAGTGAATAGTAACTACACTGAACGCCCTTCATTATTTTTATACAAGTAATAAAGTACAACAATGCGTAATGCTTATACATTGTTTCGAAGCGTGTGAACTACAATAAGTTTATCCGAAAATAACCTACAACATTTATTGTACTAATATTCACAAAGTTACAACAGGTTTAATTATTTCAAACAAATTTGCTATATCACCTTCATATTCCTTCTTCCCTTGCAACTTGTTAGACCACATATTGTGGTCTAACAACACATTCAATAAATTCTGAGATATTGCAAGGTTACGGGATGAAAAAAATAATAAAGGGGTAAAAATAAGAAATATAACAGATCAGTAACGTCAGAAGACAAAGGACTGACTGGACACTGTGAAACGTAACAACCAATCAGAACTTGACTCAATGCGAATCAAAGGGTCATGTGTCTCCCAACGATAATTGAACTGGAAACGTAGAGTAATGTGGGTTTCACAGAACCTCAATAGAACTTGAAACGTACCGTAATGATGTTATCTCACAACCACAATAGAACTGGAAACGTAAAGTAAAGTAGTTGTCTCACAACCATAATAGAACTTGAAACGTACAGTAATGTAGTTATCTCACAACTACAATAGAACTAGAAACGTACAGTAATAGTTATCTCACAACCACAACAGAACTAGAAACGGAGACTATCATATTTCTTATTTATACATCTGGTTTCGTGGTTAATTGGCGGAACTTCTATCTTGGGAATCCGGAGTTCAAATCACGCCGTTCATCAATGGATTTTAACTATCAGATAATGCTGCCATCCATCAGTGGCTCGGGAGGCAACCTGCCGGCTGTAGGACCACCCCTCGAGAAAATTAAAATCACGTATCTTACCAGAAAAGAATAGGCCTACAATTAAATGAACTAGTGCACCTGTAGCTCGAATTCCAGCAATTATTGCAAAGTATTGCAGGCATTATTTCAAAACAAATAACAATCATAATTTCCGATAACTTAAAACAGTTGACTCAAAGATAATGTGTAATGAATCACTCCATTACAGTTATCGAAACTGAAAACGAACTCACTCTGAAAACGAACGCTCTTGTGTGTATCATATGTTTACTATGAACAGCTGTAATTAATACAAATTATTCATCTGTTTAAGTAAACAAAATCTTTTAATCATAAGAAATACATTGGGATTTTGATGGCATGTGGGGCAAAGCCCAAGGACTTTTATTACATGAATTGGTGAAAGGGGGTGTCTACACAAAAAATACTTAATTTTGACACATCGTTTGTAAAAATCCGTCCATTATTAACGGAGGAGTAGTGTTTCGTATAAATCGCCTTCACGTATTATATATAAGGATTGGGAAGCAATTTGGAAGCAAAAAGGGGAAGCAGGAACAACAATTGTATTAAACTGTAATGGAACAAAAGACCGCTGTATGTAGTTGAAAATACTACAGTAGTGTTTTGTTGCAAACATAAAATGACTATAGAAGTGTCCAGAGATGCTCAAGAAAGTTCGCTAAATCTTCGAAAGAAATAAAATAAAATTACCATAAAGTTTTATTTAAAAATTTTGATGTTATAGAGAAACTGCCTTGAAAGCATGCCCAGAATAAATACTTAAAATTTAATTGCAATTCTTTTAAACAGAAGGAGATTTTACGTTACAAAAAAATAACATAATAAGTTGTGAATGCTTGCAATGCTGGTTGTTCTTTTTTATTTGACAATAAAGTTGTTTTAATAGTGCTTTACCAATCTTGACCTTTTCAATAATTTGTAGATATATTTGGTTAACCGTAGGAATATTTTACCATTTCGTATTATTGTAGAAGAACTGGAAACTAGTGATTTTGCCACAACAACAATAATCAAACTATAAAGTAATGAAGCTGAAGCTACTAGGCCTAGAACATAAACATAGATTTACACTGGTTGGCTTTCACAAAGTACATTGACCAAGCAGTTATAAAAATTGCTAGACGCTGTTTCAGTTAATTGCAAATTATTTTAAAGCCGTCCTAAACGTGTTTTTAAATGGATGAGATTAGGAGGTTAATTTGATCTTAGAATGTTTCCATTTATTTGTCTTCATCAACCCATTTACGTTTTATTGCTTCCGTGTGTCTTAGTTTTTTTATTATTATAAAACTAATTCATACAAAAAATATATAATACTGATTTGTTTCAAGCCTATATCTATATCATTTATTAACTAAATACAATAAGTATTTCCTTTGTAACGTCCCTTTAACACACTTCCTACTTAACTGATTTTTACGTTTGACGTGTCATTTCAAAGCTTATGATCTAGTGGAGGGACAAACGGTCTCAAAAAGGGCAATTTTCTTTAGAGCCTCGCCCCAACACCATTTTATTTATTTTTACAGTTTGCTTTCTAAGAACCAGTGATGATGACTAATTTTCTTTACAATTTTTTAATGTGAATTGTAATATTAACAGCTGATTCTTCATTTGAATGTTTAACCACAGTTAGATTGTAAAAAAGAGACAAAACAGTTTATGAAGATGGATTTAAATACAACAATTTTTTTAACTTTAACCTGATTGAGGTAGGTAAATCAACCATTGTAGATCTAAATGCAACATTTTAAATTTATTGTAAATTATCAGTTTTATTTACCTAATAACTGTATAAAAAAAACGTTATCTTTAAATAGTAAAAGGGTGTTGCATTATTCGTTTTGTCTGGGAATTGAACTAAATTCAAAATGCGTGATTTGTGCACGCAATTCACAAAAAAAAATATATAAAAATCCATAGCATTTAGAATATTTTAGTTTTGTAAAAAGTACTGCCTAACATAATGGCTAAAGAGCTGGTTCTGCAACTCCTGAATCTTAAGTTGTCAAAAGTGTGATTAGGAGACAGCACTATAATTTATAATTGAACTTAATTACTCAATTTCTTTAAACTGTTAAAACTCACCGTGCATGTTTTCTTTTCACAATGTTCTTAACAAATTTCATATCAGCTTGGAAAACGGGTCGAACAGTTAACTCGAAGCGCACAGTTCAAATGTCAAATGGAAAAGAAAACCTTGATTTTTCTGGATGTGTTCGAGTGTAATTTCCTTAATGACTCTCGGCGTTGGAGGTTAAAAACTAAACATTTCTCAGGGGAACACGATTAATGTTCTCGTTGCAGTCGGGAATACAGACGTGTTTAAAGGAAGCAGCTTAGTGCAGAGGAGTTGGAATATTATACAATGTTTTGTTTCTAGTGTGGGTTGTTGTCTGGCTGGTAGGGGGTTGTTGGGTTGTTGGGGTGGTTGTTGGGAGAACATACCCTCAGTCCGTGCCCGTCCCTCCTCAGGTATGAACTCAAGTGGTCCAAGTTGTTTTCAACTCACGTGATTGTAATCATGCTGTTTGGCATCACGTTTATAGTACAATGTAAGTGTTTGTTATCAGATTAAACTTATATTATTGGTATTATATGTAACTTAGGAGTAATTTATTGTGACAGGATTTACTCGAGTATCTCATTTTAAACTTAGTTCTAATATACAATCTACTTTTATGTAGTAGTTTTTTGTAGTTTAATCCATCTAAATTTTTATATTCAAACATTTGTATCAAAAGGATACAAAGACACAATGTCTTTAAACTTGTGATGAATAACTCTTTTTGGAAAAAATAACTTGAAATATGTTGAAATCGATTTGTCAGATTATAAGTATATGTTGATATCAGCCATTTAAAATAAACGTTATCAGCATTCTGACACATATTTTCTCCCATAAGTTTGTCAACAATCTTTATCATGTGTAAGCGGTGAGAGTAAATATGATATTTTATAGTTTAAAATCACTGAAGTTGCAATAACTTTTTAACCGTAATATTGTTACAGCAATGGATTGTTGTACTATTTTTTGTAGAATTATAAGGACCATAACATATTAATTTTGATCAAAACCAGCCTTTCCCAAAAAATCGTTTTTTAATTTTATTTTATGGTTTTTTTATGGGAAAATAACAAATAAATAAGTTACAACTACTTTTGAACCGTAATTTTTTACGGAAGTGGGATTTTTACCGTTTTGTTTAGAATTTAAAGGACTATAACATACTAAAGTTTTAAGAAAATCGTTCTGGATATTTTTGAGAAAATCCGAGTTTTCGTTATTTTATGGGGTTTTATGGGAAAATAACATAACTTATAATAACTTGTGAACCGTAATTTTTACAGAAATGAAATATGTACCATTTTGTTTAAAATGTAAAGGGCTACAACATACTAAAATTTTATCAAAATCGTTCGGGCCATTTTTGAGAAAACCCGATTTTCCGTAATTTTATGGGTTTTATAGGAAAATCAACATTGAAAATTAAAATTTCAAAAAAGTGAAAAAAAACTCCTGGAGATACCATGGATTAAAACCTAAACAACAAAAATCATCGAAATCGGGCCACAGGTGTAGTCCCTAGCTCTGTACACATCCAGACAAACACACACAGACATCACTTTGAAAACCACTTTTTTGGGTTCAGGGGGACCCAAAACAAATATATCCACTCAAAACTCAAACTCGAAAATTTTTACGAAACAATACTTTTTCCATATTATGGTGTAGGTGGAGAAAGTAAAAATATACTGGGAAATACAATTAATGTCTGATTTGTTGTAGGCTTCAGTAGGCTGTATTCTTTGACTTTGCATTTGTATAATTTACCTGTAAATACTTAAATTAGGCAAAAAAAAACTCATCTCAGTATTGATAATTAAGAGTTTATATTTAATATCAGTAGGTTACCTTAACAATTTATGCCTCTAAACAATTTTAATTGCCCTTCTAACAAATTGCTTGCAAAGCATACTTGACAAACATAAAAACACATTCTTTAGTATGAATTAATGGAATGATTTGTATACACTGTGATATACTGTGATTTACTGTATATACAGCAAAGGCCATTTTACAATAGTGTGTTGAAATCAGTACGAACTGGTAACTTAACAAAAATTGAAATAGCTTGGCATTAATAATAATTGTGTGAAATAGTGTTTCATTGAATAAATATACAAAGATATTTGTCTAACATTAGTTGATCATTCATAAAACATTCAAAAGAGGTATTGTTAGGTGATAAAGAACTGATGAATAACCAAAAACAAATTAATTCAACCTGTTGAAGCTAGTGGAAGTGGAAGTAACCAAATCGTATGAACAGCATAATAACTCACTGTATTTGTTTGAAACAAAACATTAAAAGGAAACAGGTTACAATGGCTTGTGGTATTGTATGTTTAATTAGTCTGGTAGAAATACAGAGATGCTTTTGTTTACTTTAGCTCTTGCAAAATTACAAACACAACTCGGTTTATTCTTTATGTGTAAAGCGTACTTCATTTGCGGTAAGCAATAATAGGTAATAGGTAATAAGGTAATAGGTAATATTTGTAAACCTTTCTTTGTAATAAGGTAGAGAGTATATTCAATGGAGAGAATTGGCCTCAACTTATTTGTTATTTTACTGCCATAATGCAAACTTAATGTATGCTTTATGTAATTTAATTCATTATGATATTTCTTTTCATTTTTCTCTTCAACAATTATACTAACTTTACCGCTTTACTTGTTACTTTTAAAATATTAGGTGCAGATCACGTTCCTTGAAAATAAAATGTTCTTTAAGGAAAGAGAAGTTATTTGGTGCTAACTTATTTTATTTTTAAAGTTGTTTAATTTAACTAGCTGTATTTATTTATTTATTTTATTTATAATCTACTGTATAATATAATATGTTAAATCATTATTTGAATGAGTTTTTTTACAAAATTAATTACATATCATGTACTCCTCTCATGTACAAAACAATAATAGACAAACTTTAATCAATATGTAAATTGGCAGGACACAATCTTCTTGAAAGCAATCCACTTTTAACATACAAAACATGCACTTGAATAATTGCTCAACCCACTCTGAAAAGAAAATTCTAACCATTCAATTTCTACTTCACAAAACAATATTTTTTGTATCAGAATTTAAAATTGTATAAAAACGGTATAGCATAAAATGGACATTTTCTAAATAGTATTGTTCTAAGTAAAATATCCCTTATAATTCATAAATCATTACATCTTAACAAATTATTTATGATGAATGCTCCTTAGACTCGGTAAACTAACTACCTGATTTTTTACTATCTATAAATATTCAATGAGTGTTTCAATCTTCTTTAAGGTAGAATGAAAGCAATTTAAATGCAATTAAAAGTTATAAATTGTAATTAATATTGAAGTAGTTGACCCTACCAGTTTGCACTGTATCTGTTTTCTTGACAGAAATTCTTACTTTTCGCAATAATAAGACAAATAGTGAGATTATATCTTGTTAAATAAAATATTCAAACAAATTTCATAGTAGGATATAAAAGTAAAGTAAAAAGGAAATGTCAATTATAGTCTATCCAATGTGTTTAAGGTGACACAGTACTCTCTATCCCGCCCATGTTAAAATGACAGTTTTTAGATACACATAACTTTTAAAAATATTAACCTATCAACTTGAAATTTTTGTACGAAGTTTAAATACATTATTACCAACAATAATATGAAGCAAAAAATGTTTTTGAGCAAAATTAAATTGTTAGTATGATTTTAAAAATTTTATAAAATATTTTGTAATTTTTAACATAAAATATTTTTTTATTTCAAAGGTTTTTGGTTGTCATGGAAACTGATTCGTATTATTGTTCCTTATCATATGAGGAACACACACACCAATTTTTATTGAAATTGGATAATAATTGAGGAAGAAAAGTGTACCTGACTAAAAACCACTTGACTTTCGGAAAACGACAAAAGTACCCCCTGTCACGGGTAGTAGTAGGACCCTTGGGCTTGCTAAAGTAAGAGTGTATAAAAGTCGCTGAAAAGCTTAAACAAATTTTTCCTTCCATAATATTTGGTATGTTCGTGTTCAGGAAAGTGTGTTCTACAAAACTAAATAATAAAAAATGTTTAAAAAAATTTAATATTTGACGGCGTACCCTCTGCGTCTTGATTAGTAGTAGGACCTTGGACATGCTAAATTAGGCTGCAATAGTTTTTAAAAGTAGCTGAAAATTAAAAAAAAAATTTCTTCCTTAATTTTTATTATCTACGTGATCAGAAAAGTCTGTTCTACAAAACTAAATAATAAAATTTTTTTTTTAAATTTTATATTTGAGTACTGTGTTACCTTAATGTTTAATACCACGGGAATTAAATGATTCTAATCTTCAATATCAATTTTAAGGGCGGAATGCCAAGTGTAGAATTTTTTAAATGGCTATCATGTTACATCTCTGGGTTCATATGTTATGTGGTCAGACAATTATATGTATTTTAAATAAATTTACATTAATACTCAAATTGTTAAGTATAGTGAAAGTCATGTTAGCGCTATTATTTTTTATTTGTGTTTCAATCCCCTGTGTGTAATTGATGTTCCCAGAAAAAATATTGTTTACCACACAAGAAAATACTTTTCTGTTGGACTTAAACTAATAATTAATAGGTAAGTAAAACTTTACATTACAATACAGTATAACAAATTTTCTTTTCCATTTTAGGGTATGAAGATAAAGTTCTATGACACGGTTTGTTGTATTTTAGTCTTAAATAACAGAATTATGTTTCATAGGAGAATTTTTCTTAGGACTCTTGTAGGACATACGAGGTCTGTTAAAAAACATTCAACCTTGTTCAGGAAAAACATAATTCATTGATCAATTCGTTTTAACATGTGAGGTCCTTCAAAATAGACCTCTTGGGACTTCACACGCTTATTCCAGCGATCCTGCCACTTTTGGAAACAAGCCTGGAATTCTTCATTCTTATAAACTTCAGACGATCTGAATCTGCATCTGTTTCAGTACTTCATGTGGCAGACGCTGTCACTAATGACTCAGAAGTACAATGCAAGGATCGCTCTTATCTAGACAATTGTCTAAAGAAACTTCCCCCAATACTGGAGAAATCTGAGATGAGAGGCATCCCTAGCTCTAAAAAAGATGTCGATTCTTCGTGCAGGTAATTTATTTATACAGGGTGTCCCGTAAGTAAACAGCCAAACTACGGGAAATAGTTCTATGGGTCAAAATAAAGAGAAAATCAAGAATAACATTTTTTTCAAAATCGCTTCGTTAACCAGATATTCGCCATTATCTTTAAAGTTTTTCAACCGATCATTATGAAACTTGGTATGTATGTTAAGGTAATAAAGACCCATGTTAAAAAAAATCATCTTGATTCATCTTAACATTGAAAAATGGTGGCCATTTTAATTTTTCAAACCAAATTACTAAAAATTAAAATGGCCGCCGTTTTGAAATTTTATGATGAATCAAGTTGATTTTTTTTTTCTAACATGGGTCTCTATTACCTTAATATACATACCAAGTTTCATAATGATCGGTTGAAAAACTTTAAAGATAAAAATGTTAATGTGAAGAAAACAAAATGGCGAATATCTGGTTAACGAAGCAATTTTGAAAAAATTTTATTCTTGATTTTCTCTTTATTTTGACACATAGAACTATTTTCTGGAGTTTGGCTGTTTACTTACGGGACACCCTGTATATCCTAGCATAGGTAAATAAACTTTTGGATAATGTAGTAGATATGCCATCTATATGACCAGATGTAGCCAATTTTTTGTTCTGTATCTAAAATTAAACTTCCTAAAAACTTATAAATATCACATATATTTGTCTCAGCTCTGTCTCATCAAACAACACACAAACATAGAACACGAAAAAAATTCAGGTATAAACTATGTCTCAAACACCTCTGGTGGCCAATTACAATGAATTGCTTGAAATGTCTTATATTTCAGTGCTTTCAAGCTGGGGATGGGCTGTATGGATGCCTTCGCACAGAAATGTCTCTCCACTGCAGACAGACAGACTTTAGAAGCACATGTAATAGGAGCCAAACACACATTCAAATTCCTCTGTGATGACCCAGTTTTTCAAGCAGGTATAGTTTATATTCTGTTACCATTTTTTTAAAGAAAAATAAAAGAAATTAAATTTAAAAATTATGCAGCTGTAATTGTTTTGCATAACAACTTTGGTTCGTTAAGTATTTGAATGAGTATCCAACAAAAATATAGGGTTTTACATTAATAAGTATCCAACAAAAATGTAGGGGTTTACACATATAAAACTTGTTTTGGAAATAAATATGAATCCAGTGCAATACCCAGTTACTTTTTAAGATTATTTTTAGATCAGTTATTAGGTCACAAAGCTATTATTATCATCATTATCATGATCTTCAAAAATGGACTCTATGTGAGGGTGCAAATCCCAAATGAAACTACAGTACCTCTATTTGGCATTTGCAGGTCCGCTAGATAATAATCTTTAAAATGACACCTCATAATAGTAAAAATCTGTTAAGTAGGACGGCTTGAAAAGGAAAGTAGCAGAGACAAATCTTATTGTATTGAGTATATAGAGAGATTCTGTGTACTATGTTTTATGTATTAATTCTTATAGTAAATTATGATCACTGCTACTGCTTAAAACTGGAACCTGAAACAAAGGTGTTCTTTGAAAATAGTCTTCATACACTAAATAGATGCTATAAAAAAATAGGTACTTTATTTGTTACTTTTTTCCAAAATTTGAACAATTTTTGACAACATTACAATGAAATCATAAACCAATTTCTTCAAACAATTTCAAACATTCCTAGTGTTAAACCTTTACAATATTCTAAATGCTTTGACAGTATGTACAAGTTATTGTAAAATTAAATAGCCAAATGATTAATTAATTTGTTATTTTATTTTATTTATTTATTTCATGTTAGAATGAAAAATATAAAAAAATATTGTTCCTAGAAAAAGAAATCTCTCAATTATATGACTATGATAATAGTTTTTCTATTACTTCAAACATGCTGAGATCCTAATCCATATTGAAGTTTGCCATTTAGTCTATTGTGTCAACATAATTTAATGATAATGTTTCCAACATTTGTAGAATACCTCCAATATACATCATGCTACAAAGGCATCAGCAAAGACTGGGACAACTGTGCCAATAGATTTGTCAGCCTTGTCAGAGAAGAAGTGGCAAGGAAGAACACCACGATGGAAACTCGACTCCTGGAACTATGCTGGTGAGTAGTAAATGAACACTCTGGTGCTAAATGACACAAAATCCAGGGTTTTACACAGATATGTTTTGTAGATACAAGGACAAGAGGATGACATCTCTTAATAGTTCTACTAATTCAAATAAAAACCTCTTTCTAAGAAATTAATTTACTTGTAGAATAATGGAACTTTAAGAATCTATAAGTAACAACAATTTGAATATTAACAAGAACAAAACGCTCAAAATAAATAAGATTCTAATAAACACTAGCCGTTACCCACAGGCTTCACCCCGTTTGACTTGATCATAAGTATTAACAAAACTATTGATTGGTTAAGTTAAGCTGAAATAAACAAAACAGAATACAGCAATACAAACAAATAATGCACATTTGATTTTAATAAGGTAATAAATTGAAAGAATCTATACTTATTTAATACGCAAGCAGATTTTTTGTGACAATTACTCCTCCGAAACTACTGAACCGATTGTCATGTTTTTGGTGTCATGGAAAGAGCGTAACGTGAAGTTGTGCAGGAAACTTTCTTTTTGGGGAAATAATGAGAGAGTGAGGCCATGGAGCCCTTTAAAGTTTTGTATTTCTTCATAAGATTAACATTGGAAACAAAAATTGTTATGAAACTCCAGCTGTTGTCAGAAATCAAAAGTGAGAAGAAGAGCATATGTTAATTGTAAACAGTCAATAAGTTTGCTAATTTAACAGTTTGCTACAAACTTGCTGACTTGGTTGAAATTTGTTTTAAAATAACGCCTGTAATACTTAGCAATTGCTCGAATTCGAGCAACAGGGACACTAGTAACATACAAATGAGTACAGCTGAGGTATTTTTATGACAATTTATGAAATAATGGATAGTTTTGTTACGGATTTATATATGGATGACCTTACCAACCCCCTTTTTCCAAATTATTTTAAGTTCGTAAAAAGTGTCTATTAATGTAATCTATGTTGTAATATATGCTTTATTCTTCCTTTTTCTTGCAAAAATGTTACCTTCAACCACTTTTCACTCTTCAGTTGGGGGTTGTTTCTTCAATCACATGCTTTTGCCAATTGATAACGGAGGTAGTTCTGTGGTGCCACTATAATCAATTGTCTATTATACCGAATATTTTTCATTCCAAGACCTGCGGTTTGCATATTAAGAGATAATTGCGTCCCCCTTCCTCAGAGGAATTTTTCTTGCCTTTACCCCCCTGGACCCGGGCCCACCGAGCCTTTAATAAAGTGGCCCTGTTCATTCTCATAGATCCTGAACATATTTTGGAACCTGTATCTTTAGAAAGTTCTTATTTATAGATAGTCTGCTTTATGTTCTTCGGTTCATGATGAGTTGAGCAGGGCTAAAGTCAATTCCTCCTTGCAAAGTGGATTCCTGAGTTCTGATAAAGCTTGTTGAAAGTCCAGCCCATCTTGATGTGATTTTCTCAGAAGATTCATGAATATTGTTACTGCTGACTCTGCTTTGCCCACCAAGAGTATCAAAATGTGTGATCAGAAATACAATGCACAAAGAATCCACCTATTCAATCCACGTTTACCCAAAACGCCCACCTTTTATGGTAGAAACCTTCCACCAAGCTCTGCCGACATTATAACTAGACTAGACCTGACTTAGACAAGAGTTAAACCCTCCATCTAAAGTGTAACTTCCTGGTTATGGATGCAATGCCTTAGACCACTCAGCCATCGACCAACCAGCCAATGTCAGCTTAGTTGTTATTATCTTCAAGGTTGCAGCATAGTCAGGTATAGTTTACTATGTTATGTTGTAATTGCAAAAATTCAGTCATTTGTATGTGAATATTGTGAATGTTTAATTATGTCACTTGATAGCCAATATATTGGACTTAAATCATAAGGTATTTACCACTCAGTTTTTACAGCGATAAAATATTTTTCAGGAAACACCAATGTATCGTCTGCGCTTTCTTATCATGCTTTACTGTATTGAATTTCTCATCCTTTTTTTGGAAGGAGATGATAATAGTTTGAACTGATACAGCGCAAGACATGGATTCCTCAAGTGCGTCTACGTTGCCAGTCGTCTCAAATGCCGCAAGGAAGAAGCTTTGTTCATCAAGAAGATCGCTGATACTTTATCCAACATGAGAGTGTACTCAAAACATTGCCGCAACATTGACGTATCATACTGTAGCAACGCGACAACATCACATGAGATATTTATTTTTCTTATTGAATTAGTTTTGTGCTGGACGCTCATGGTTGTTATTAAATGATTTTTACTTTGTTCAAAGTGGTGTAGATATTTGTAAATAGTTTTAGAAGCCAATAAGAGTTTGTGTAGTAGAGGGTCCATATTTTTTGTAACTATCAAACTTCAATGTGACAAATTTCACCTTTCAAAATGTACGTATGAATTTTCACTCGAAATAAGCTTACAAACAAGAATTTTTTTTTATTTTCAAGACTTATGTAAGGTACAAAAAATTTCCAAAGCGGACTGCAGCTTTTTTCTACTTAAGGTAACGTATTATGTAGTCTGTCATCTATTATGAAGTAAAAGTGAAGGTGATATCAATCAATGACACAAATTATACAAATCTAAAAACCTGACACCTTATTTTTTTACCAAAAGAACTGTCTAAAAATGGTTATATAAAATTTAATGAGAGGCATATCTCAACTTGATACAAAATGGACCCCCTTAAAAAGTTATGTATATTTTATAATAATGTGTGACCTAAAATGTTTACTGGGTTTCTGCTGTCCATTAGAGATCTTTAATATACAGCATCATTCAACCAACACTGATATTCAAGCATTTGGACTGTCCCAAAATACACCATTTTGAGCAATACCCAAGTATATCTTGACTATAAAAACTAGAGTTATATGTCCAAGGTTTGTGTTTCTACAATAATTAATTTTATAACTATTCACTTGTGCAATCACACATCAATCAAAATTGTGTCATTTCGTACCAACATAGATTACTCTGGCTTTTGCTGTTTTATACATATAATAAGGCTCTAAAATGAAGTGTGATCTATTTTTAAATTGTATAACAAATATTTTAAGGAATTTTAAAAAGTCATTATTCTGTTAAAACACGATTTATAAAGTCTTTTTCTTGTAGATCCATTTAATTGTAACACATTTTGTAAATTGTTCAACTCAGTTTATGTAAAGGAAATATTTGGGGGGGGGATGAATTGTGCTAGTTACTAAAAAATACATTTAATTCTCATACAAAAGTTGTACTGGTAAAACATAAACCTTATTTTAAATTAAAATACAGGCAGTGTAATTAAAACAAACTAAATCAAGTCAGAAATGACTACCTTACATTCTCAAAAATGTATAACAAGTTCCAAGTAAGCAGGGAAATAGTTTTATGCAAGTTTTATCTACAATTACCTTTAAAAAAAAAAGTTTGAAAAGATGATTTAGTTAAAATGCTTGAATTATTCAAGTATTTTATAGTTAAATTGAATTATTAGTTTTACTTTTTTGGAAAAAGAATTCATCTGGATCAAGGAAGGATTTTGGGAAACTAAAATAGATGTTTGGTAGTCATTACGATAGAACTGGTTTAAAATGTTACCAAAGAGATAGATTGCATTTCAAACAGGAAACAAACCAATAAAGTGGAGTAAACAGAAATGTTCAACCACAAACTTAAAAGACATTATGATTATCCTGTGAAAAAATATGATATTTTCATTTATATGATTACAAATTAAATAACAACTGGCAATCTAACGTTTATTTAATCAAAATTTAATTAATCGTCGAACCTCGATTAAATTTAATAAATAATGTTTTTACTTTCACTTTGATGAGTACGTTCACACCTCCATCTTATCTAATTTTATCTACTCATATAACTAAAAAATAAACACAGCTTACAAAATATTATATGACTTGAATTCTACACAATTGAAGCAAAAGGTACTAAGTAATCTAATGTAATAATAAATCTAATAAATATGCACAAAAACATATACAGTACTAAACAAATGTGTCTGCAAAATTAGTTAAGTAAGCTAAATATGTAATTTTAACTATACCAGTAATAATATTAACTGTTGAATTAAACAACGTGAATTTGAGCTTAACATTTTTTTCAAAAATAATATATAGAATATATTAATTTCCTTTTTTTTTAAATCCAAGAGTCAATTTTTCTTCCTTTTTCACAAATTATTAGAATGGTTTCCTGATATTACTAAATAATTTTAGAATTGTAAAAAATTTGAGTTTAACATTGTTTCTATAATTATAGTTTAATTGTGTTTGGTAACCTCTTAGTCTATACCGGTACTTGGAAAGATCAGTTCTTTATCCTGAGTTGTTTTTTTCTCAGGTATAATTTGTTCATTTCCTCAAATCATTTTTCTTGAATGGCTGAATCAAGTAAGATGGTTAGTCAAAATAGCTAATAAAACCATAACCAAAGTTGATCCTCCTATCAGCCCCGACACTCCACTTGCGCACGTCAGACCATCTTGTCTAATGTCGACCTGGATGTTGTCAGGATAACGGCAGTTGTCATCTGTGGGAGGAAATTTGCCATAAAACAAATAAAAATACCAATCTTGGATACTATGCTACTTAAAATATTTTGGTTGTTGATTTTTTTCTGCATTTCAATTGAGTAAATAATACTGTAAATAATAATGAATTTACAATAATTTAAATAGTTTAAAATAAATAATTTATAAATTTGCAAATTTGTAAATTAATTCTTAATTTTGTACCGTCTTTTATCAAGGGACAAACCAATGTTAAATCTGGTTGTTCTTGATCGTTTGGCTTGATTGGTCGTGACCAACAAATTAAATTAGCCTAAGACAAAGAATCACAAATCAGAATCACAAAAAGAATCGTGGACAAAGATTCACTTCTATCATTCTACCACTAATTGTAATAACAATGATTATTATTATCATTATCAATTGAGTTGAGTTGAGTTGTCTATGTGGGTGTATTAACCCAAATATGAGTGAAGGATGAGTGTAGAATGGAATGAAATTTTTGAATACAAATATTTTGTATGATTTTATGTACGCCATTATCTTGGGTGTGAGACGTAAAAACTAATTCCAAAATACTAACCTGTGCAAGAATTTATTGCAGACGAAGTTGTTGGTACAACTGCAACGGAAAAGTAAATTGGTGAACAGCCTGCAATGTTGGTACCACTGCAAGCTCCATTGATGGTGATCTGATAAGCATCCGATGTTATTTGGCGACAAATGTCACTCTGTGAGTTGTTGCCAGGAAGTACGTTAACTCGAGATTGACAAATGTTCAACGTTCTACCAGTAGAACTGGATATCTGCAAAATACGGTTCATTTTGCATTTGAATTTCATACAAAGTAACAAAAGTACTGGTACACAAATGAGAAGAAACATTTTGCAAATGTGAAAGAACTAAAGGGACTGTGCACACCGTCGCTTACCACGTCTTCGGAATATGTCGCTGACGTAGCTCTTAATGTAAATACTTTTTCATTGGAACTCCCTGCTACTCAGTAACATACTTAATAATTATTAGTAAAAACAGTAAACTCAATTTGAATTCCATGAAATCCTTAAATCATGGTTTTGTCAAAAAAAAAAGGTGTCTTTGTACTCTGTTTATCTAAAAATATAAAGGATAGTTAAGAGCTACAGGCTTAAGCTTACCAACAATGGTACCTAGTATTTACTTAGTTGTAATCAATTTTGTATTTAGAGTATTACCTATTCAAGTTCATGTATAGTGACATTAATTAAATTGAATAAAGCATGTTTTTACTTTGACTTTGATGAGTACGTCCACACCTCCGTATTAATACACGAGTAAGGGAAGCAAAGTTTCTGCCGGTACGCCAGCAAGCTATAAGCGTCGCTCTCGTCACTGAATAGGAGTACACACATGCCCACTAGTGCCTTGGGCTGTCAACGTCACCTTCCCTCATAATTCATTAGGTCGTCCATTAGGTGGTGGAATTTGCGAAATTGATTTCTTCTTCGGTTAATTGGTATTATGGGTGAATCCATTTAAATCTTTGGGATGCTGAATATAAAAGCAAAATTTGGCATAACTATCACTGCCATCCATGGAATAGCATAGTAAATGAACAGTCCATGAGCGACGTTGAAATACCAGAAGAATGAAGATATCTGGCCACGTCGGTGTGATCAGTGCTTTAGAATGCAGTGTTATGGTGTTTCCAATCAGCAGAGCAAAGTGATCACATGAGATCTACTATCAGGTGAGTTGCCGATGTACTCTGGTCGTCCAGCCTGGAGGCTATAGGTTGAAATCCTGCTGATTGTCAATGTCAGTGTGTTACGTTAAATGTTTTAAGAACAGGACCCTTTTGCATAAGGCCTACGTTGGGCTGTAGGTTCAGGTTCGACTATCAAAAAAAATGGTATGTCCCTTTTTTAGGTTTTTTAGGATATGTATCTGTATTGGAGATCTGACCAAAAATCTATAATACTTAATTGATTTAGTGTTTGCAAATTAATTAAGAATTTGATCTTTAACAATATTCAAGAGATGATGCTGTAAAACTTCCTTAGATATTCTCCTGTTATATTGACATAAGTAAGACTACTACGGGAATTTTTTTCATCTTGAAAAATTACGCATATTCCAGCTTTGTTTACCAATGTTGGCAACAGTGTTCTCTTGTAACATTGCAACCCCTGTATATGGGGGTTGAGCCTATCAAGTGAAGCAAATAAGTGAGACAGTACAAGCCAAGAATAAACCATACTGATATTTTAATATTAATGGCATAAGGACATTGCTGCGGAATGAGCCACTAGCTACTGATCTGAAGCTATGGATTATTGACTAAATTTCAAACCAAAAAAAATTCTTATATTTCTGTGTCTGCCACACTTACTCTGATTGTTCCACTACTTGTGCCGTAGAAGTAGTTAGGATGTATTCTGTAGTATTGGACTCCTCCTACAGGCTCAATATACGTTCTCAACACAAGGTTAGATGTTGAAGTTCCCGATCCGTAGAATGACATGCAAGTTGGATTGATCAATCTCCTCGGCACTAGAAATTTGAAACATGTTCAAATAACAACTCCAGTTGATCTAGTTATGAGAGGATATATTGGGCGGGGCAATGAGACCACCAATATTTTTATTGCCTCTGTCACATGATAAATAATACAACAATGAACGAACAGCTGTGCTTATATATAAACTCAAATAAACTATGTCATTTTAGTAAACATAGTGCTAAGGAGTCATGGAACTGTGCTTTTGCTGTGGACGCTTTTGCAAATAGTGATTTTTTTCAATTGCTCAGAGATTGTTTGTATCAAATTTCCACATTTGTCCAAAGCTGCTGTTCCAGATCAGAAAACTATAGGAAACTGAGAACATTATTTATCTTCAATCCAAAAAAGAAGAAATACAGTGGAAGCCGCAAAATTGTTCAAAACAGTCGACCAACCAATAATGGCCACACTCAGAAATGTTTTTTTATAGTTGTTTGATCTTATGATTTGGAGACATAGGTACTTTGGCCAGCTCAATCTCAAATTATCCCAATAATTGGGCTATTTAAAGTTCAAAGTTCATAAAAGTTGTCCAAACAGAGATTTGCTTGAACTGATGGAAAGAATCGCCAAGGAAATACAAGCGATTCCTTAAGAAATTATGTAACAAATATTGTATGGATATTTCAAAGCAACTTGAGGAATGTTAAGTGATTCAAAGATGTCCCAAAAAACAACGACATTGTTTTTTAGAAATAAAGAGAGAATTACTATAAAATTAAAATGACATATGATAAACTTGATTTGGATGTAATATTAATGTTTTCCTACAGTTACCTAACAATGTACATGTTCTCTCACTGATTTGAGAAAGCAAAGTGGCCAATTCGCTCATCAGTGAGACAATGTTAACATTGTCCCACTCTAATTACTTTGTCTCACTCCAGATTTGCAACGTGAAGGCACGAAATAGTGAGCGCATAACATGCAGGCAACGTTGTATGCGCGCGAAATACGTTGGCAGCACTGGCTGCAAATCAGCTGGTCAGCTGTTGTACTGTTGTATTTGTCACTTCACATTAAATGTTATATTAAAAGTTCACTTCTGTGTAAAAATAGGTTATGTTTCTTCACCAATTTATTAGTTTTATAGTAACTGTAGGAAAAGTATAATGTGCCACTCGAGTTCAAAGTACAATTGCCTCACTCGAGAAACCATTCCTCACTCGCGGAATGGTCACCTACGGCTCGTGAGTAAGGATTTCTCTCGAGTGAGTCAATTGTTCACTTTTCTCACTAGTTGCACAAATAACTATTATAGGGTTCATAGAATTACATTTGTACTATTTAATTGTGGTGTTTGCATTGCCTCACTGTGTACCTTCGATCTGAAAGTAGCTCTAAATTGTATTTAATTATTATTCAACCGATAAGAATTACCTTGTTTCAAGCGAGCAACAACAGCGTCAACGGATGTCGGAATATCAGTCAGAGTAAGTGTGAGAATGTCCTTAGAAGAATCTTGTACATATGAAGCAAATTTGTCCTTGGATCCTGGGTTTAAAAACATCCATCTTGCATCTGCCAACAATCACTTAATATAAGTATGTGTATTGATTATTCTGGAATGTAACTTTTGATCATTTAAATTTCCCACATGTATCCCTCTGTATATATAATGAACTTTTATTGTTAGCAAACTTACCCAAGTATTTGTTATATAAAGCCCTGTTAGTTATACTGGAATTTTCAACGTGTGCTTTAATCAAAAGCTTACTACAAGCCAAAAAACTTTTTTAGTTTTGTCAACATGTTTCCAACAGTCTTTCACTGTTTTTAGCAGAAATTCTTTTGCAAATATTTGGAAACGTGATATATTTACAGCACTTTTTAAAGTCACGTTACCAAAGTTACTGTACTGCAGTGCTGCCAGCTGTCCTTGACCTGATTTTGTTGGAGGTCTGTTCCCATGTTTCCCTAACCAAAGGTGGCAAAACTGCCGTACTGTGTGCATTATTTAGTTTACCAACCTGGCACAGAGTTTCTGAGGTCGGCCAGCCTGTTGTAGATGTAGTTCTTGTCGTTGTCGTTGACAGTGGCTGATGTGGAAGGTACAATCAACACAACACTGGCAGGTCCACCCGGAGTGTTGAGTTGTTTGTCCCAGTCTAGCCGCAGCCGCAACATGTCTCCGACGTCTCGTACAATACGTGCCAAATCAAACCCTCTCTGACCTGGGTGCAAAGTATAAGTATTAAGAGGGCTCCACCCGCTGGCTAGTTACCACGTAAACATGGTCCTACAAAAAAGAACCTCGTGACATTATTAAAGTGTTTATCGAGTTTAAATAAACTGTAAAATATTCACAAAGATCCAAACTAGGTATGTCCTGGTAACTGAAACTTCGTAATGGTTTCTTTAAGTATTTAGAAAATCTGTAAATTAGTCTTTTTCACATGTGATTTAAAATTCTAAATAATAGTTGAACATTGATTTATCCCCATCCATTGCAAGCTCTGATATGTTAAGAGCACAAAAAGTACACAATCATTGGAATCAAATTAGTTTTAGAGTGTTGAGAGCTTGTACCATAGAGGCTTAAAAACATTAGCATGTTTAGCTGCCATTTTGAATTGACCGGGTAGAACCCTCTTAAATTGGAAACTTAATTCAGTGAGTTTGCTACTGTGAAATTATTGTAACAATATACCAACAAATTTTCAGGGTCAGAGGTTATAGTGTCTGCCTTCATATATCAAGGTTGTTGGTTCAATCCCAAGTGAGGTTGATTCTTGTCTCAGATTCCAATAATTTTGATTTAGCTACCAAATTATTAAGATACTTTCTAAAGTTGACGTTTGTAATGACAAGATCAGGGTTTGGACTTTTGCCTTGCACAAAAATGTTAAAGCTCCCAGTAATAGTGAAACAATTAAAAGTATCTGAACAGGTATTCGGATTTATTAAAAACTAAAAGAGTGAGATAAAATTCTCCAAGATTAAAATAATATAACATTTAAATAACATGTATTTCACTACTTACTACTCATGTAGTAGTTGTTCCTGGTAAAGTTAGCATACATCTGAAGGACATCGTTGGTGCTGTTGACAGCTACAGAAGCATCTTTAGCATTGATTATAGAAATATTTCCTGTAAAACGACTCACTTCCAACTTTTCTGCAAGCTGGCTGAAAACAAAATTTTAATTAAATTTTTACTTTGATATTTTAGTTTTTACTTGGAAATTGTTCATAGACACAATGTTTCAGTATGTATTTTCCAATTTTGATTAAATTTGGATGAAAAGTACTAAACTGTTACACGGAGTATATTAAATTGGCTATTCATTGCATGTTGGATTGATGTATTCATAAATTTGAAAAATTCTCTTTTTAGCATTAAATTATTTGAAATTCAATTTTAGTGTCCCTTGAAGGATCTAACAAAACCACTCATTTACTCAATGCTATTTATATTGTGAATAGACAAAGGTATACATTACCAAGGTGTACCTTTCCTTTAATTGGAAATGTGTTTAAATAAACTATTTCATTTACTGCTGGGATATGCAAATTTTAGAAAACATATATAAGACAAATTTATGCTCTGGTGTTAAAAAGACAAATTTAAATGTGTTTAATAAGGAAAAATACTTTCAACATGACAATATGTTTAGAATTGCAAAAGATTGTATTTTAATATGTATTTGAAGTTAGCAATGTGTTTTCGTCCACTGCAACACACAAATTATGTTTTCCTACAGCATAGTTGGGAAAGTTAGTCAAAATTTCTAACTAGTTAGAAGTTAGAAGTTAGTCCCATGAAAAGTAACTGATAGAAGTTACTAGTTAGTTGGTTTAAAAAGTAACTGATAGAAGTTATAAGTTAGTTGAAAAACTAACTGATAGAAAATAAAGTTAGTTTTCGACATTCGTAGAAGATAGCTGTTTGTTGGACAGAACAGTTGTTTTAAAGGATTTAATATGTAATGAAATAATGACACATCTTTGGTTACTAATTGTGTTTTAATTAAATACTAGAATGATTTTAGCACAGGCTCGGTAATATCAGTACAGTCATTTTTTCGTTTGCGACCCTTTTTTTCAATTTTTTCATTGAAATCCAAAATCTTAGAAGGATGTGTGGCCTAAAAAACAATTTGAATAGTTAACACTAAGTAACAGTACAGTACACTATGTTTTCATAGCAATGATAATTATACCCTAAAATGGAAGCCAAATATTGTTAATCGCAGCATAAAATAATTGATGAAATCTGACTTGTTAGTCAATTTAAACAAATCTTGAAAAATCCCACAATTGCAAGTATTGCAACATGTTATTAATAAATACTTTTGCTACAAAAATTACTATCGGGGAAATAAATATGTGTACTCGAGTTTGAGCCAAAATATCTCTGAGATGAATTACCCGATTTTGTTGAAACAAAATTAAATATAAGGTTCATTAATAACATATATGTGCATTTACAAAATTGTATTCGCAGTAGTTTTTATGTTGCCGTTAATTTTTAAAACGTATGCTTACATCGTTAATAAGACACTGAAAATTTCGTTCAAAATACCATAGTGTTTGCCGTGACACAAGTAATAACACCAATAACACCAATATGACAGATTTTAGATTTATAATGCGAACAAAGGTGGATTTTAAACAGATTTACATTTGTAAACAAAAATTTCTCCCGTGACTGGCAGCGGGCCGGGTCGCCTGATATTTGTACCATATTTCCCAGCCGGGCGGGAGCGCGTGCGCCACTGCGACGTTGCCGATGTGCGTGTATATTTATAGTTAACTTACTGTTTTATGATGTAACATAAATTTACTAACAAAATATTCACTAGAACCATGAAACAAATACGTCACAATAAGTTAACTTCAAATATACACGATGATATTTTGAACGTAATTTTCAGTGCCTTATTAACGCGTTAGCATACGTTTTAAAAATTAACAGTAGTATAAAAACTACTGTGAATACATTTTTTTAATGCATGGAAATGTTAACAATGAACCTACCAATAACCCATAAAAATTTCAGAAAGATTGGCTCAGTGGTTTGTTTAAAAATACATTTTTAACTTCAGTGTTAGTGCAAAGTTACTTAAAACCCGGTACTTTTTAGGATCTTTCAACTAACTATATACATTTTTCTGGTGAACGGAAATTTTTTAATTGACACCACGTAAAATTTATTTAAACCAGCTTATACTTAACTTTTGTTTCAACAAAATCGGATCAATAATCTCTGAGAGATTTAGGCTCAAACTCGAGGGCACATATTTATTTCCCCGACAAAGGTGATACAAATCTTGTCATCACTCTGTATTCAATAGTTCAAAAACAAATAGTGATCATCTCACCTTTCCTGACATAAACATTACTTTCGATACACAAACATAAGTTACAGCTGAAGTTCCCGGTTAGGTTAAACTCAAAACACAGTTTGTTGACGTTCAATTAGTTGAATGTTACTGTAAAATTAATTGTACAGCCGTATTGTGTTTAACTTAGAAACAATTAATGTATTACGAAATATCAGATACTTTTTAAAGGCTGATGAAGTAGTTTTCCCAGTGTGATAAAAGTATAGTTAACTCCTAGTTTTGAAAGTGACCTATTTGTGGCGAGATAGTGTTTATAAGAGCATGGGAAAAGCATTGAGAAAAACACTATAACTGTACTTAAAAATATAAATTATATTCATTAAACAAATTTATAATCCCTTAAAGTTAACAACGAGACCATCATACTTTTTCTCCACTTACCTACCTTAATATGCGCTCTCAAATTCGAGGCACTTGTGACTGATGCTTTAATTATTTTTGTTTTGGGTAAACACAATAAACATTTCAACGCTAGTCGAACGTTTTCATTTTTTTCAACATGTTGGAATATTGTTCAAAGAAAAAACAACAGAAACAAAGAATTGTTGGAATATGTCACTTACTGTCGGGGAAATAAATATGTGCACTCGAGTTTGAGCCTAAATATCTCTGAGATGAATTATCCGATTTTGTTGAAACAAAAATGAAATGTAAGCTTGTTTAAATTAATTTTACGTGGTAACAATTTAAAAATTTTCCGTTAACCAGAAAAATTTTTATAGTTGAAAGATCGTAAAAAGTACCGGTTTTTAAGGAACTCTGCACTAACACTGAAGTTTAAAAATTAATTGTGAACAAACCACTGAGCCAATCTTTCTGAAATTTTTATGGCTTATTGGTAGGTTTATTGTTAACATTTCCATGCATTTTAAAATTTTTACTCACAATAGTTTTTATGCTGCTGTTAATTTTTAAAACCTATGCTAACATCGTTAGTAAGACGCTAAAAATTTCGTTCAAAATACCATCGTGTTTGTCGTGACACAAGAAATAACACCAATATGATAGATTTATAATGCGAACAAAGGTGTTTTTTAAACAGATTTATATTTGTAAACAAAAATTTCTCCCGCGTCTGGCAGCGGGCCGCCTGGTGTTTGTACGATATTTCCCAGCCGGGCGGGAGCGCAGCGAATCTGCGACGTTGCCGATGTGTACCTGACCACCACACTGACATTGCATCGGTATTCACGGCAAACAACTGTGAAAATCAATATTTACTTGTAGTTTATATATTTAGTAGTTTTAAATTTACATAAATTTACTAACAATCAATTCCCATCAGCGTTTTCTCATGAGGGCTTTGGACCTCCAATGGCAGCTTTAAAATTGATTTTTTTTTCTTTTTATATTTTTATATTTTTTTTGTGTTTTGTATTTTTGTTTTTTTTTTGTATTTTTTTATTTGTATGTACATGTCTTTCTCAATTTTCCAAGTCCGAAATATTTCCCTCGATGTCAAAATCGTAGTCTGTGTCAGAGTCCGAGTCAGAATCGTTTTGAAGGTCAACAATAATCGGCTGCGCCAGCGGAACTTCGTCTGATAGATGATCCTTTTCCCAATATTTGTCTTCAATGTTCTGAGCATGACGTATACATTTTTTCCACAGGTCCGGTGTAACAGTTTGCAAAACTTCCTTGCACAAATCTCTTGTAACAGTGATACTATTTCCTTTCTCTGCAGCATTTCTTCTATTAATCTTGGCTATATTATTTTTAACATAGGCCCAAATAAGCTCTATAGCATTTAGCTCACAATGCGCTACCGGGAGCCATATCAATTTTATACCAGGGTTGGTATCTTCAATGATGTTTTCAAGTATTTTCTTGGGGATTCCGAAGTGAGGCTTCGCATGTTCAATCAATGCAGCTTTTGTTAGTTGAGCGTAATCAGTTGAATGAGGGGGTAAACTAATGTTTCTTTTTTGCAGCCAACTAATGATGTCTTTTTTTAACCATGACATTGTAGGATTTTTAGTTTCCGGGTCTATTTGCTTGTGGTACGGAGCTTGGTCTATTACTATAGCAGACTTGTTTGGCATGAGTCCCACAACACGTTTAAACCATTCGTGAAAGTGTTTTGAATTCATCTCGTTGTGGTAATCGGAGGTCCCCTTCTTTCCTACAAAACATAGCTCGCCGCCGGGAAGAAATCCGTCTTCGCTGCCGATGTGTAGTATGATGACTCGTTGACCTGATCCAGTTGGAGTCTTGAAGCCCCCTCGCCAATGTATTTGTTTCATGACTAGTTAATTAGAATATTTTGTTAGTAAATTAATGTAAATTTCAAACTAAATATTGATATACACAGTTGTTTGCCGTGAGTGAATACCGATGCAATGTCAGTGTGGTGGCCACTGGCCAGGTACACATCGGCAACGTCGCAGATTCGCTGCGCTCCCGCCCGGCTGGGAAATATCGTACAAACACCAGGCGGCCCGCTGCCAGACGCGGGAGAAATTTTTGTTTACAAATATAAATCTGTTTAAAAAACACCTTTGTTCGCATTATAAATCTATCATATTGGTGTTATTTCTTGTGTCACGACAAACACGATGGTATTTTGAACGAAATTTTTAGCGTCTTACTAACGATGTTAGCATAGGTTTTAAAAATTAACAGCAGCATAAAAACTATTGTGAGTAAAAATTTTAAAATGCATGGAAATGTTAACAATAAACCTACCAATAAGCCATAAAAATTTCAGAAAGATTGGCTCAGTGGTTTGTTCACAATTAATTTTTAAACTTCAGTGTTAGTGCAGAGTTCCTTAAAAACCGGTACTTTTTACGATCTTTCAACTATAAAAATTTTTCTGGTTAACGGAAAATTTTTAAATTGTTACCACGTAAAATGAATTTAAACAAGCTTACATTTCATTTTTGTTTCAACAAAATCGGATAATTCATCTCAGAGATATTTAGGCTCAAACTCGAGTGCACATATTTATTTCCCCGACAGTAAGTTTGGCCACTTAATATCACACTCGCCCGCCATTGGAAACCAATATTATTAATCTACTGTACTTAATCAACACTGTTCACCTTAATAACTATTGTATAACAAATTTTTTACTATCACTAAAATATGTATACCGACAAGACAACCAAAAACACTTGGGCGAAAACAAATGAACTAACACCTGTCACGGTCAACGGTCAGATAAGATAATGAACTTCGACTCGACTGAAGTGAAGACATTGTTTTGACACTTGAGATTACATATCAATCGCCAAACAAACACCCCCCTTCCCACCCTTCGGTGCTTGGGGTGTTGTTATTGGCTGCCATTGTCCCGCCCCCTGGGTCCGCTGCATACCAAAGCGACTGGACTTTGACTTTCTCTTTTCCCACCCCCCACGTTGTTTGTCACAAGGGCGCTGACCTCTCACGTACGCTCGCAACCCTCACTGAACACGTCAAATAAATAACCCGTAGGCTATTGGAAACACTTTCGCCTGACCAAAAACTTAAGAGTCTTCCTTAGTGGAAGCCATGTTGGATTTCTTCCCCATAAGAACAATGTTAACTTTGGGTCCAAATATCTCATCAGCAAATTGTCATATAATTATGGATAAGGAGTTAAATTTAAGGAATTGCGGTCCTCTAGAGATTGACGTTTTTTATTTCACAATTTTTAATTTTTATAATGAATAATTGATTATTAATTAGCTTACAATTAAGCTAATTATTGAAAGGAAATGAAAATGGATTTTAGAAATTCAAAAACCTCAGTCACGAGTCTATTATGTTAAAAATACAAATTATAAATTTCAAAGCTATATCTTAACAAATAACGCCGTTACGTGTCCACAAATGATGTAATGTTTAACATTGTTCTTATGGGGAAGAAATCCAACATGGCTTCCACTAAGGAAGACTCTTAACGATTTAAAACCAGCGAATATATTATCTATTCGCTGGCTATAAAACTAACTGAGTAGAAGTTATTTCGAGCTCTTTTTAAAAAGTATCGACTAAAATAGAAGTTAGCCGAAAAAACGAACGAATAGCGCTATTCGTTAATATTTCTATTCGTTTTTCCCAAGTATGTCCTACAGTCACCCGACAAAGTTGGCTTCCTTGTACTGTTTATGGTACAGAAAGCTGCTAATTGCTGCATATTTATACTTTGCCGTACGGTTTATACTTTGCCGTACGGTTTATACTTTGCCGCACATCAGGATTCCAACGAAACAACACAAAACAGCGTGGTTCTATTATGCACGTAATCCGTGTACGCTTGGAAATAGGTTGGCAACACTTAAAGATAATAATACTATAAGCAGCTGATTGACTATTATAACTACGATTTAACCTGTCATTTCGTGTTTATAGTTTCGGTATTTCTGAACTTTCTGGACTTTTCTTTTAAACGTTTTTAAAACATTCCTACGATCTTAATAAACAAGAAAATATCTTTAAAGCATTTTTTTAAGGCGCGGAAACCACTTCAAATTACAAAAACATACGGAACTATATTCTCAAAACGCGGAGCACATTTCTTGCCGAGGAAAAATAGCGGAGTGATACGGACCACGGGTACTACTTTCTCTAAGGCACCATTTGTGTTGCCAGCTGAGCCTAAAAACGTGTCGTATAGTGTTTGAAAGACTAATTATTTATATGTTTTATAGTGACTGTAGGAAAAATATAATGTGTAACACGAGTGAAAAAGGCCTTTGCTGCACTCGAAATCATTCCTCTCGTCAACATTGCTCTCGTGTGCAGCAAAGTGCCACTTTCACCACTAGTTACACAAATAACTATTATCTACAGTCACCTAACAAAGTAGGCTTCCTTGCACTGATTATAGTACAGAAAGTTGCTAATTGCTGCATTTACTTACTTTTGCCGCACTCTTTTTTCCGCACTCCAGTATTCCAACCAAACAACACAAAAAAGTGTGGAAAACTGGAGTGCGGCAAAAAAATGAGTGTGGAAAAAGTAAAATGAGTGCGGCAAAAGTAAATAAATGCAGCAATTAGCTACTTTCTGTGCTATAATCAGTGCAAGGAAGCCCACTTTGTCAGGTAACTGTAGGAAAACAACATTAATGTTTATGATTTATAAACTTTCAAAAGAACAGAGAATGGAGCCAATAAAACCATTGTTAATAAAATACTGATGTGCACGCTTACCTAGCTATTCTGATGGCATCTAGATAGTCATAAGTGTAATCTATGACCAGGTACAGATGAACAGCTGGAGAGACAATATTTGACACAGTTCCTGGACTTTGACCTCCTGTGTAAGATGTGGATCCAAAAGAGCACTGGTTGTCCACCATTGAAGCTGCGGATTCATGATAAAGAAATGTGCATATTTCAAGGCAAGGTTAGAAAGTAATCCATCCTGTTTTCTCTTAATAGGGTGCATAGGAAAAATGGAAATAAATACTGTAATTTGTCAACACAAGTCCTTTGAGAATTTTACCAGCTATCAAGATTCAAGTTTCTTTATTTGGTCATCGAACAATTGCAATTAATTATATTAGAGCACGTCAAAAATAAAAGATGAAATCATTTAATTTAATCAATATCAACAATTATCTCTTACTGAGCAGTCTATGCTGGCTTTGATGGTAATCCCTTCCAAGAAACCTCTTGTCAGCAGAACAATCAGGACATACATTTAATGTCATGCCCAAACCCTCTAACAGTTTGGCAATATGTAGAGATCAGTGAATACTTTTTTACATACAACAAAACCCAAAGTTAAAAAATAATGCTAAACAGTTGAGTTGCATCACACTTCTGTGCCTTTTGTTCAATCGCCAATAGCAGTGGGAAAAAATGGAAAATTTACTATAACCTTAATCTGGGTTACTATCCAGAATACTTTTAAATTCATCCTGAATCAAATTAAAATTGTATAAGTACTTACAAAAATATGTAGTAAATTTCTGTACGGCTGCAGAGTTGAAGTTTTGTAGCCCTGTGTTATCAACATTGACTGCAGAGGGTAGTTCTAGCTCCAGGACTCCGGAAAATGCAAATGACTGAAAAAGTAAGCTGAGATAATAATTAGTCAGAATAAACACTTCTTTAATTGTTGTAACATTTTTGCACTAAAGCTGTGTTTACAAGAAGCCATTGGAGGTCAGGCTGCTTGACTCAGGTAACTTGAATACACTTTAGGCAGGTAACCTGCCCGGCCTCGTGTAAACATGGCTTTAGATTGTCACCACTTACCACTGCAATTGCTTTTGCTTACCACAGATTTGGAGCACTGCTTTACCACATCCAAAATTTTTTCTGAAGTTATATTCGTGCCAAAGTATAGAAAGAAGAGGTACAGATACAGGCTTTAATTATCACAAACCAACTGCATCCTTGAGACAAATTCATTTCTTTCTTTGTTTTCGTGTTTCAAGAGCAAACCTAAACTGCAGTAAACGTCTTTATCCCTCCACCATGTGATATATTTCCCTAATTGTTTTGTTAGCAGATTGAAGACTCAATTAAAGGCAGAAATCAGTGACATCCTGGGACCTCCCTTTCTTGCTCTAATGAGGTTTGTTTAAAGTGTAATTTTATGCTTTTACACGGTATATTTCATCATTAAACCTATTTCTAATGAATGCTTTCAAATTGTATTGCTTTACTACTTTTTATTGTATTGTGGTAACTTATGAGAGCAAGGAGGTTTTTTGTAAGGAGGTATGGTAGCCCTGGAAAGGTTGTAGTTCTGGCACCACAAATTATATAAATCATTAACTCTATGAGTACAATTGTTTGAAATTATTTTTCTACATTTTTTGTAGACAGAATAACCCAGATTTAAAACCATATTCATTCAACGTTTTTTTTAAATTTTAATTTCTGCAAATGCATTAGCAAATTTTGTTAAATATAATTTCCCACCTGTTGCATGATATCGTCCACAGAGAACATGCTCTGGAAGAGAGACACTCTCTGACAAGCTCTGATGTTAGTGTTGAGAACTCCTCTCTCTGAGTAGAACATGTCAATCAGCTGCGATAACTTGAGCCTCCCTCCTCCTCCTACCAGGCTGTTCCAAGACTGAGCATTGACACCCAACATCAAACCTGCAACCGAGTTTACGATGCTAATTGAAACAGTCCAAGAAGTTAAAATGGTGCTTTTACTTCCTAAATAAAAGGCGTGTATGCTGTTTGTCATCAATAAACACACATCGACAAAATGACGTTGATTTTTAAAAACAGAGGAAATGAAAGCTAGGCCAACTACTTTAATTCACTAGACAAACTAACTCAGGTTGCACAGCAGACATAATGCTATTCAGAGTAGTTCTTAATGTTAATGTTATGAGTCGGTGTGTGTGTTTATTAATGAAGATGTATGTTGGACTAGATCGACTAATTTGATGTTTAATTTTACAATGAGTCTTATGACAGAAGAGTATTAGCATAGACAAAAATAATTAAATATGGACTGTCAGCCGTGCTGTGGTTACCATAGGTTCTGGTGCTCACCGCCAGGAGCGCCATGTAGTTAAGTGGCGTGTACGCCGTAACTAAATGGCGCTCCCAGCGGTTTGCGCCAGAACCTATGGTAACCACAACACAGCTGACGGTCTATATTTAATTCTTTTGTCTATGGTAGTAGTTGTCGGAACACTTCATAAGAGGACGGACGAGGTTCATAACATGTTATATATTTGAAAATAAAGCTATCCTGAAAGTCAAAACCATAGTTCAACAAAAAATTTAGATGACTTTGATACTCGTGTTTAACATCTTTATTGTAAAAATATCTAAAGCCTCTACAGAATAGGTGTCTGTAGGTGTGTAGGTAGGAGTCTAAGAATGTTGTATGTTTACCGTCAACAGCGCCGCGTATGTCAGTGTCTGTGAGAGCGTCCTTGTTGTCTTCTTGTAGGAAGTAATATCTCGGCAACACTGAGTCGTTCCAACCTCCGTTGAGACCAATCCTCATCTGACTAGAGCTGAGTGGTCCTTGCAACAATGCCACCTCTCCTATCTCACCTGTCAATCATTATCATAAACATTACTTTGAGACGGTGGCGCACATCTGAATGCAAGCTGAGTGTAAAATGAGTTGACCAGTGTAGCTTTGTAACTCACTACGATCAGCTGTTTCCTTAGCCAGGATGAACACTTAACATTTAAGTCTCTTTACTCACCTGATAATGTGGCTGCCCAGATGTTACTGATGTTTGGATTGTTGTCAGAAACTCCGTAGAGTCGGGGAAACTTGTAGTTTGTGCCTCGAAGAGAATTGGCTTTAGCCACAAGGATCAAGTTCCTACGACTAACAGACTGTGATTGAAGTCCAGCTGCGATTCCTCCCACTATCAACCCAAACTTGACTGCTCCGAACCTTAAAACAGTGCAATTACAGGGTAAAGATTATGAACTTAGACTTATAATTTAAATTAATTTTTTAACTTAGACTAAACTCCGATAAGTCTGTTTTCATGCAATTCCTAACTCTCAATAAGATCCCTGAATCCGTCTCGTTGAATAAGTTCGAGATAGAAGAGTGCTCTGTTGTGAAATTTTTAGGTCTAACTGTGGATAAAATGTTGTCATGGTCCAATCATGTATCACAGCTTTGTTGCAAGTTGAACCGCATCTGCCATGCACTTAGGACGTTGCAACCTCTTCTTGACTGGGAAATGTTAGTTGCAGTCTACTATGGTTGTTTTTTCTCAGTCATGACTTATGGTATTGAAGTCTGGGGTGGTTCTTCCCATGGTTATAAGGTCTTTACCGTACAAAAAAGGGCAGTGCGTATCCTCAATTGCTTACCACCACTCCATTCATGCAGAGGAGTCTTCCGGAAGAACAACATTTTAACTTTGCCTTCTATATTCATCTACAGAGCAATAATGTCTGCAGTAAATCATCTGAAGGATATTCCATCGGTTGGTCAATTTCATAGATACCCCACTAGGCATTGAGGAGATCTTCGTACTCCATGTTATCGTCTGACCCTTTCTGAAAGGAATGCAAATTTTTCGGGCCCATTTTTCTTTAATATAGGCTTCCTGAAGAAGTAAAGCAGTGCAGTTCAAGGTTGGGTTCTAATGGTTTTGGGAAACTACTGAAAAATTATTTGGTGGAAGGTGAGTTTTACAGTACCGAAGAATTCCTGTCTGCCTGATCTCATTCAACATGGAATTTTTATTTGACTTATTTGTTTAAATCTTTAGAATAAAATAGATTTAACTAATTATTTTTCGTTTTGATTTAAATGCTACTAGACCATATAATGTATTTGACGATTGAGATGTACATTGTATAATTTGTACCCAATTCATGAATAAAACATGTCTATGTCTATGTCTATGTCTAACTTACTGTGGCTTATTGAAAGCCATCAAGTATCTTTTAATTACTAATAACAATGACATTTGCAGATTTTATGCAGATTATGATACCATTCAACTCAAAGCACAACGAAAATACTTTTAATCAGAGCATAGACTAACCAACACAACGGACTTCTCATCCCATTGTAAAATTTGAAACTTGTTTTTCATGTCTAGTTAATGTTGGTAACAATGGGCACTATAGTGTTGACGAAATTTAGTTTCTACTGTATTATAGTACGGTTAATTTCATGATTTGTGCATTAATTTTTGGTTATACTGTATAATTAGAGGACGAGTTATTGTTTATGATTAGGATAGTTTTGTATATAACATGGTTTTATATATAACTGAAATAACACAAAACAAATTGTAAATAAAAACACGATCCTATTGGCACCGGAGGGAACTAACAATATAATATTTTCTTCAGCTGATCCATAAGGATGACAAATCTACTAAGAGATTATGTTTATAATCTATGATCAGAGGCTATTGGAGGTAAGGGGTTAGTCTCCTTCTCACTTTATAATTAATGTTTTATTTATTCATAATTCAACCCCATGACTTTCGGTTGTTTTTCCCTACTACTAATGTGAATTGTCTAATGGCCACTTCTTTCAACAAAGCTAAGCTAAGACAATGGCAAAGGTGATCATCTAAGATATATAACACAAATTTAATTTTAATCTATACTTATTTAATACGCAAGCAGTTTTTTTGTGACAATTACTCCTCCGAAACTACTGAACCGATTGACATGTTTTTGGTGTCATTGGAAAGAGCATAACGTGAAGTTGTGAAGTTGTTTCTTTTTAGGGAAATAATTATAGAGTGAGGCCCTGGGGCCCTTTAAAGTTTCGTATTTCTCCATAAGATTAACATGGGGAAAAAATTGTTATGAAACTCCAACTGATGTCAGAAATTAAAAGTGAGAAGAAGAACATATGTTAAATGTAAACCGTCAATAAGTTTGCTAATTTAACAGTTTGCTACAAACATTTACTGACTTATAACACTAAAAAACAAGATCAGCTTTTGAAATATGATAAGATATTTGCAAAAAATTTTGATTGTATCGATCTGTTATGTACATCTTGAGTATTTTCATAATCTTTGAGTCGAATATTTTAAAGTCATCAGAAATTATTTCTGTTATTTGTTTTAACATAACGTCTGTAATACTTAGCAATTGCTCGAATTCGAGCAACCGGTACACTAGTAATACATTGTTTTATCAAACTAATACAATTTTAAACTAGGTATTTTTTTCAACTGTAACTTTTTTCACTAAACTACTGATGAGGCCAGTTAATAGACATTGTTATCAAAATGGAAAAGATTATTAATAACATTGGTACCTACAAGTTCAAAAATAAGCCCAACAGTATCAAATTCAGTCTTTTACTGAACATCATGGATCATTAGTTCATTAATAATCTAAAAATATTCCAGATTTTCATCAATCAACAAGGAAACGATCCTACAAGCAAGATCCCATAAGGATCCTATGCTATATCATTCAACAGTCAATGAAACTTTTTTCGTTTTTGTTTTTGATACCATACCTTGTCTTCACAACACCAGTTTCTAGAGGACATGAAAGCCCATTGTAGGCTCCTCCAAGCCATCTGCTGGACATCTGCTGTCTGAAACAATATAAATATAAGTGGCTGAAAAGTAACTTGCACCCCATCTTAACTTTTCAACTATTTCAGATATATGAAATCGGTTTGCGACAACCTTCTTAGTTATGAGAAGCTACAATAATGATGGCTAATTTTGAAAATTTTGCTCTTACCAGTGGGGGTGGGGGGTAGCTCAAAACTTTCAAATATGAAGTATTTTCAGACAGTTTCAGACAACAAAAAGCCAGAAGCATCAAACACAGAAACACTAATTCTACTTGAACTAAAGGCCCTAAAAGAAAAACAGAATAATATGGAGTCAAAAATGAAGAAATTAGAAGATAAAATAACAGTAGAAGATTCCCAGCACCTAATAACTGAGAAAAAGGAGACTCCTTGCAAGCCAATTAACACACCAAGACGAGTTTCATATAATAAAAACAAATTGGCAACTACTAAGAAAACCCATTTCAGTGTTTCCTTGCAAATAGCAAAAAGCAAGTTGAGGAAAGAAGCACCAGAACACCAAAGTCAACCACAACAAACACAAAATCAAAATATTAAAGAACCCAAGGCCATCAAAATTCCAAAAGGAGTTTGCTCTACTTTCAAGGGCACTATATCTCCCCCAAACAAATCAACTAAACCAAAGAACACAGGGAAACCCCCGATCACCGCCAAACTTCTTAAGCCGGGAGAGACCATTGAAGACTTCTTTTGGAAAAATATAGACCTATATAAAAAGAATATTCTGTCACACACCAAGCGACTAAACATGACCGAGATGGACTGCCTCTCTTCTCAAGGAGAACAGAAACATGAGCAGCTGCAGGAACCCAATTCAAGTCAACAATCCAATCACTCTACAGTGTCCCATACTATAACCCCTTTTTTAGAAACAAACAGCCTGAAAAAAGCAAAAGAAAAATCTGCAAATCTCCAAATAATTCTTGTGTAGCAATAATGCACCAAAATATTAGAGGACTTGCTATGAAGACGAACAGACTACACCATATTCTCAATGACACAAAACCAAGCATTCTAGTCTTGACTGAACACGGACTGAAAAAAACAGAGCTAGAAGCTACAAAAATTCCCGGCTACTCTTTAATTACTTACTTTAGTAGAGAAGAACATAAACTTGGAGGTGTTGCAATATATTCCAAGGAATCCCTTGCTGATACAGTATCAGCTATTAACATATCAACACATGCCAGGAGTTAATTTTCGAAGCAGCAATGATTCGCATGCAGGAGACAACAAAGAAAAAGGATATCTACATTCTGGGAATCTATAGACCACCAATTGAAAATGCAAGAATTGCCCTTGACCTCCTATCAGACACGCTAGAACTACAAGAAGTACACAAGAAAAACCTCATACTCATCGGTGACATAAATATCGACAGGCCCACCCAAGATTCCAAAAACACCATGCTGGAAGAAGAGTTAACCACACAAAACATCTGGAGATTTGCTCTAGAGGCCACCAGAATAACCCATGACACAGCCACTTCAATAGACTGTATATGCTCAAACATACCATATGCGTATATTACTGGACAAGTTGTGCATACTGGTCTATCTGACCACACTGCGCAGCTGTGCCTGCTGAAAACACACCAAGAAGACACTTCCCAAAGATTTGTAATGAAAAGAAGCCTAAACAACACAAACCTAAACAATCTGAAGGCTCAACTCCATCTACAAAATTGGGAACATGTTTACTCTTCACCCAATCTTGAAACCTCCTACAACAAATTTCATAATATTCTTCAAACAGCACTGGATTATACATGCCCCTTAAAGAAAACTAAAATTAGTACAAACAAAAAACATATGAAGTACTACGATCCTGAAGCAAAATACCTTAAAGAGAACTTTTTGAAAGCTCTGCAAAATTTTGAGTTAACGAAGAGAAATGAAGACAAATTAGAAATGATTAATAGAAAAAGGATATACGACATGAAACTAAGAAACCTAAAAATGTCCTCAACAGCTAGCTTCATAGAACAAGCTGACAACAAACCAAAAGCACTATGGCAAGTTATAAACAAGGAAAGGAAAGGAAAATGTGAAGAGAAAACCCTTACAGAATTAGAAATAAATGGCAAACTCACAAACAACACAAAAGAAATGGCCGAACACTTCAACACATTCTTCTCAAATATAGCAGAAAATACCCTTGACCAAAACAGAGCAATCGTTATAGACCCTGAAACAGTGCTGAATGGAGAGGAACCAGTCTGCCCAATACACCTTACCCTAACTTCAACATCCTATAAAGAAGTTAAAACGATAATAAACTCCCTAAAAGCCAAAACATCAAGTGGAATAGATGAGTTTTCCTCTAAGATGATAAAGCACTGCTCTCAAGAACTCATCTCTCCTCTGGTTTATCTTATAAATAAATCATTTAAAGAAGGCAAATTCCCATCCGCCATAAAAGTCAGTAAAATATACCCCAAACATAAAAAAGGACCAACTGAAAATGCTCAAAACTACAGGCCCATCTCTCTCATCTCCAGTTTCTCTAAAATCATAGAAAAAATTGCTCTGGCTAGATTAATGGCACATCTTAATCATAACAAACTCTTAACTGACAACCAACATGGCTTTCGGAAGAATAAATCTACATCCTCAGCTATAACAGCACTAATTGAGTACGTCCTAGACCAGATAGAAAACGAACAATATACATTTCCGCCATCTTCCTTGATTACAGTCAGGCTTTTGACTGCCTGGGCCACGACCTGATATGCAAGAAACTCGAAAGACTCGGTATAAGAAACTCTGCGCTAGAATGGTTCAAAAGCTACCTAACGGGACGTTCACAAGTCGTGGAACTGAAAAACTCATCAAATGAAGTCACAGAAAGTTTCAAATCTTCAAAAAGCAAGCTGACGAGAGGAGTTCCACAAGGCTCTGTATTAGGCCCGATTCTATTCATCTTATTGACTAATGACTTCCCCAAACAAATTGAGAGTGAAAATGATGTTGCAATCATGTATGCAGATGACACAACCATTTTGATCAAGGACAACACAGCCCAAAGCCTTTACCTTAATTCAAAATCGATCTTAACACGTAGAGTGCGGCCATTCCCGATCGGGTACGGCGCTTGGTCCCCGTACGGTGCGTCCGTACCCCATCGGGAACGCTCGGTAATGCCTTTTGTATATCTTCGTTTTTGCTCTAGCGTCGGCCGAAAGCGGACCTATACCACGTTAGCGTGTAGTATGTGACTTGCATTTTGTTGTGGTGTAGGTTGGTAGTAAATTTCCCCGTAAAATCCCCGTCTGGCAATCTCAAAAGTCTTCTTTTTGTCCCGTCTTTTTCCCTCCATTTGGCAATACAATTCCAATGGGACCGGCTACGTTCCAAGCAGTGCTGCTATCTGTGGGTGTTTAGCGAACTACGTCGACTCTCGTTGTAAAGCAGGACATCCCCTCACGTTATTTGCTATTCGTCGGACCGAAATTGGAAAGCCAATCACACGCGGCAATCGGGTTTACTCGACGCTGAGGGCTGCGCCGCACTGGGGATACGCCCGCTATTTGACGTGCCGCAGCGAACGTGTTAAATAAAGCTATCCTCTACTCAAAGAACAATGACTTAGCAATAAACCCCACAAAAACTACAACTCTGAATTTCAGTAAGAAAAAAGACATAGTCCCTCAATTAGAGGATGTAACAATAGAAAACCACACAAAATTTCTCGGTTTTATCCTTGATAACAAACTAACATGGAAAGAGCACATCAACCACTTAAGCAAAAAAATCAGTACTGGAATATATGTCGTCAGAAGAATAAACTACATAGGCGGACTCTCCAAGGCCAAAACAGCTTACTTCGCACTGGTAGAGTCGCATCTTAGATATGGCTTGACAGTGTGGGGAGGAACTTCAACAAAAAATATGAATCGAATTCTTGTCCTTCAAAAGAAAGCCATAAGAGCCCTCGCCAACCTTGTCCCACCACAGACTTGCAGACTAGCATTCGCAAACCTAGGAATCCTCACAGTGGTGTCTCTCTACATACTTGAATCTATAAAGTATGTGAATGAAATAAACCCCCCAAGAAACCGAGACCTGCACCACTACAACACCCGTCATGGCTCCAAATTTGCGATACCAGTTCACCGAACAACTCTTTGGGAGAAAAAACCTTCCTACACCGGCTGCAAGCTGAGGAACCAACTACCTGACTACCTGAGAGACCTGACTGGCAACAAGCTACACCAGGAGTTGAAGAAGTGGCTAATCGAAAGACCCTTCTACTCAATAAAGGAATTTTATGAAAATTAACATGTACAATTCACTACTGTATTGACACTATTGTAATTCTTGACGAATTAACAATAAAGAATATTGTATTGTATTGTATTGTATTGTTGATTTTGGTATGATTTTACAGGTCTTGACAAAACTAAACAATTAACATAAAGAAAATAGAAATCAAACAACTTGGCACAACATCAACAACAAAATGGCAGCTAAAATTGATTAAGACAATGGTTATTAAAAGTAATTTTTAACTTTAAATTTAATTAAAAGTTAAATTTAACTTTTAATTTTTAACTACATACAGGGTAATCTTATGAAGAAGTTACTATTTTCTTATTAATATGGTATAACACACTAGACGTTTTGAAAACTCTATCAACTTGAAATTCTACAGTTATAACAGACATGTTTAAAAAAAGCTTTTTTCTCATTTCATTCTGATTAATTAGAACATAAAGTCCAAGTAACAAAACAAAGAAATTTGAAAATAGTACCATGTAGGTACATGTGTAGGCTTAGTACCCATACATACCAAATTTCATCAAAATCCAACCACTATTGTCTGTAGCCCTGCACATATCCAGACACTCAGCTGTCACTCCACAAAAAGCTTTTTTGGGTTCTGTGTTATCAATCAAAAATATTTCCACCCAAGACGCAAACTCAAAAATGTTGACAAATAGGCTATACTTTCTCCATAAGAGACAAGAAAGTAAAAAGCTGATTTTCTCAACCGGACATCCTAATAGCTACTATGTGAGCATTATACTTTATGACATACTCTTTATGATGTCCTGCCAGTATCTCCACCTCCTCCTGGTAGGTTCTAGTGTCCCGAGGGATGCGGCTGTTCCATACGTTGGGACGGACGTAGTTTGGCCGCACGTAGTTGGTCAGCTGATTACATGTTACACTCTCGTCCCCTCTCTCATTACGATCAACTGACGAACTCAACATCAGGTGAAGGGCACACTGCAGATGTCAATAGTGTGAATGTCTATTCTCATAGTTTAACAGCTATTTTTCAGAATAACTCTCGTCTTAATACTATCTTCTGATATAAAATGCACAATACATCATCATATTAAACTACTTACAATAGCAAAAAACACAAAATATTGATAACAAGTTTGAAAGCTGCACAGGAATGACATTTAAAGCTATCTGTGAGATTGCAAACCCTCTCAATGATGTTTTTTTCTTCATATTTTCTTATTCTGTAATCATCTAAACATTTTAATACTTCTTCTTTGAAATTGTTCCTTGCCATTAGACATCGCTCTGTTACCTGATATGGACTCTAATCTCCATAAAATCCATATGAAAAAATTAAATGTGTAAATGATTTTTGCTATTACTGTTTTTTTTGTTTTATTTTTAATATTGAGTAAATGAGAGATATTTTCATTCAATGTTAAAAAATAAGTTGTGAATAACTAATAAAACTTGACACTCTAAAATAGAAGTGAAAAATACCTTTTCTTCAGTCCTTAGAGCTGTATCTGGAAAAGTATTGCCACTTGAAGGTATCAACCCATCCATAAGGATTTTGTACCGGTAAAATTGGTTTCCTGAAGGTCCATAAGGTACAACATAAGGGGATGGTGCAATGTCCGGATTCCTCTCAATACCATCGAGGCGATAACTGGAAATGTGTAAAAGTTACAATAAAATTTACTAACATATTTAGAAAGATTATAGGCATATTATTTCTTTATTTTTGTAGAAATAGTAAAATATTATTAGTGTCATAACCTCCTCCAGTATGAACATTTAGGTCATACAGTAACTGGCTGGGTAGCTGAGGTACTCGCCGAATGATCAAAAGGACGCCGTTTTGATCCTGAGAAAAGTCAGTAGCTTTTTGAAACTTCAAAACTGGACCCAAAACTGTCTTTGACCATTGGGCTTTAAATAAATGATCTTGGCTAATGAAAGAGCTGATCTTATAGTCATAGTAGTAAAGCTACAGATCATCATCACACTTCATACTTCACTAATATTTGGGTTAAAATACGCACCTAGTTGGTCCGGACTATATAAACACTATAGTCAATGGTGGCGTCCACATCTCAATTGGTAGTAGGGTGACAAAATGGTATGAGAGTAGATAAATATATAAGGTTTTCAATATTGTTATTGATGAATTAAATTGTTATAGATTTTACTCCCTTGTCTTGTAGTAACTCTCCTTTTCATATCTTACTATTACTCCTTATCATACACCGAGTTACTACTTAAAGATATTGATAGTCATACAGTTCTCATTGCTTTGAAAATTTGATTAGATAAAGTTTAAAAAAAAGTATTGAAATTAAATTACTGTATGTAAAGTAGTCCACTGATCTGTTTATTGACTAAAATAAACCAAAATGATGTGGTTTTAAGTTTGAAAATAATAAAAAAACCAAAGATCAACATTGAATTATTACATCAATTTTTGTACCAGTAATGTTTCATTTTCCAATTAAACCTTTAGGAAAATAAACTATATTATTTTTCTTATGTATTAATTCTTTGAGACCGTGTCATACATTTTGGTGTGTATTTAAAGCATACTAGAGGTCGTCCAGTGGTCGAAACTCGACCAAAAATATATAATGTACAGACTTCTCTATTTTCACCCAACACTGTAAATAAAACATGTGATTGGCATTTCTTCTATTTGTTTTGATTTTCTGTTTATATTTCGTTGTTATTTCGTCACCAGCATGACAACCCATAAAGCCCATGTTAATTTTATTCAAATTTCAAATTCATTTTTTGTGCTTATTTCTGAGCCTATTTTAATTTTTAAAGGGTTTCTGCACACCTACAGAAAAATATCTTTCTAACGGTATGCGTAGATTTTCCCTGCGATGCACACGAGCTGAGAAAAAAGGTTTTAAAGAAACATGCTTGCCTATTAATATATAGACGAGAGGTCGTCCAGTGGTCGAAACTCGACCAAAAATATGTAATGTACTCACTTATCTATTTTCACCCCACACTGTAAATAAAACATGTGATTGGAGTTTCCTCCATTTGTTTTGATTTTCTGTTTATATTTCGTTGTTATTTCGTAACCAGCATAGCAACGCATAAGATCCATGTTAATTTTTCAAATTTTTAAACTCATTTTTTGTGCTTATCTTTGAGCCTATTTAAATTTATAAAGGGATTCTGCACACCTACAGGAAAATAGCTTTCCAACGGTATGCGTAGATTTTCCCTACGATTCACACGAGCTGAGAAAAAAGGTTTTAAAGAAACATGCTTGCCTATTAATATATAGATAGATAGATTATAAAAATGCAGAAATATTGTAGAATGGAGTGTGATGCCTTGTGTAGCTTTGGTGCTGAATAAACTCAGCTGTTTTATGATCGAATCTCGACCATTTATTGACAGCCCGTTCAAACCATAAAAAAGACTTTTCTCAGGAATGAATTTATGGATTCTGATTACTTGAGGTTTAGCAAGCTGTTGCTGTTTCCACATTGATCTCCTCACATATCTAGTCTAGGTACCATGACACTGCCTGTTCTACCTGGTCATGATCTGTGTGGAGAGAGTCCTCATGTCCAAGAATGTCCCAGGTAGAGTCTCCAGTTTACGGATGATTGCCAGGAGAGTGTTTAGTGTCATCGGTGGGAGGTTTTCTCGTGTAAGTAACGTAGAGTTGCGGTAACAATCTACTAAACTGTCCGGAATGACAGCTTGTAGTCCACTCTGGTCTGTCTGTCCATGGGTTAACTGAGGAGCTTAAAATAAAACTTGAAGTTAAAGGATGCTTTGAAGTAAACCATTGTGCTAAATATACAATAGTTGTAATGTTCTCCACCCTTTGCAGAGCTACAGGGGGTGGTATAAGTGTAAACATACTAGTAACTAAGTTATAGTTGAATTGTATTTATGAAGTTGTCTATACGGTATTAAACATATTTTGAAATCTGGTTAACCCTCCAGTACACGCGCCGCGGACTCAGAGTAAGCACATTTGAAAAAGCGCGCCGAAATAAGTGAATCTGCGAGCGAATGACATGACGTGCCATCTACCTTCCCCCACTACCTAAGGACAATGGTGGTATTTTGACCGTCTTAGCGCCAGTTGGCCTTGAGCTACCAGAGTGTAAAGTTAGGTGGGTCATGTTTCAAGAGGATGAAGAACGAGGCCAGCGATTGACTGATTGGTTTTCAACAAGAAATTTTCAATTTAAAATAGTTTTAATTATTTTGAAATTTATCTATATTTATTCTCCTATATTTGGATTATTTGAAATTTTGATGCTATATGAACTTTATTAGGTATGTAAAAGAGCGTTCCCAGTAAGAAGTAAGATGCGGAATGCCTGTCCGCACTCGTGTACTGGTGTTACTAATAGCCGTGCGTCTACTGGAGGGTTAAGAATTATTACATGACTTTGCAAGTTTAAGTTGGTACGAGAAGTGCAGCCATGTCTGGTCTGGGGATTGCTTAAAACATAGAGTGCTACAATGTTAAACTTAACAAAATCTTATCAAATTACTCTTGATCGTAGGTCAGTTCATCTTAATTGTCACTGCTGACTTTGTCCATCTCCCCTTAGTTTTTTCATTCAAAAGTGAATGGTAAAAGTTAAAATGTTTATTGATGTGGTACAACAAGCATACCGTACCAATGTAAACCACTATCAAACCCTTTATGTACCTAACACACCAAAATTGAACCATTTACCTGAGAGTATTGCTGCAAAGAGGAGAAGACTGTAGAAGGTCATTATCAAATCTGTATTGACCAGTGATGAAAAGATTGATGACCGCTTGCTGGTACAAGATCAGGTCCTGTTTGCTCCTAAACAAGTTGTGTTATAATTTAATTTGTTAATCAATGTCAACAAGTGCTCATTGGTAATTAACTAAACTTAATTTTTGTATTTATGATCATTTTAGTGCTGAGCAGTAAGTAATTGTTTTGATAATTATTTATGATTAAATCTCAGAAAACTAACTTCTGACTCACAGTTACAAGTACAAAATAAACCTTTGGACTGCAACAATGTATAATCGTGAATATACTGAAACAACTGAAACTGTACCTGATAATCTGTAACCTTCTGAAGGGCTACCTACTAACTCCTGTGATCTTAATAACAAATTGATAACTAGTTTAATAAGCTAAAGATATAAACTTTTTTAATATCCAGAAGCAATTTACAATGAACTGGAATAGCTATTTGTGTATTAAGAGCTCAAATTACGTCATCGCTGGTTGAGAACTGTAGATTACCGCACAAAGCTTTAGCTGAGTGCAGAGTGCGGCTGTACATTTGTGCAAGTGGGAATGACTAAAGCGGAAATGAGTTAGTTTGCGTATTGTTGTCAGGTATGGCAATGTATTCATTTCCATGCAGTGGTAAGAAATACGTGGCATATTTCACTACTAGACACAAAAGTGACCCATTTCGGGACAAGAAAGTGATTTTCGAGGCAGAAAACAATCTACAGTATCGAGCCTCGAGCCTTGGAATGGAAATGTTGTGACAACTAGTGAACAATTCTTTTTCATCACAGTGCAAATAATCACCCTAGGCCTCTTTGTTTTTAACAATAAAATATTATTCCATAGTTAATTAATTATGTAACTCTTTTTAAAGCAGCATAGGTATTTTTTTTTTTATCAGCTACCCAGTGGTGGACCTTGACAAGGAGGGAGCTAAGGGGGGTAAAAGAGTGGGGCCTGGGGGTCCTCCTCCAGAAAATGTTGTAATTATGTAGCTGATTGGTGACTTTTTTTAGCCCTTTTTAACACCTAGAACTGTGTACAAAACTCGTTGTTACTGTATGTTTTATAATTAAATGTATATTTAAATATTAACAGGGTCCAGTGAGAGGGGGGGGGGGCTTTAGCCCCTGTAGCCACCTCCCCCCCTTTGGTATCATCACTGCTTGTACCTATACAAAAACGCTCCTGTTTGAGCTAAACTGGAACTTTTTTAATTTGGACGGGCTAATTATTGTTTGGGACACAAAAAATCATGAGTTAGATAGATTGGAAATTAAATATTTTTTCCTACAGTCACCCGACAAAGTTGGCTTCCTTGTACTGTTTATAGTACAGAAAGCTGCTAATTGCTGCATATTTATACTTTGCCGTACGGTTTATACTTTGCCGTACGGTTTATACTTTGCCGCACATCAGGATTCCAACGAAACAACACAAAACAGCGTGGTTCCATTATGCACGTAATCCGTGTACGCTTGGAAATAGGTTGGCAACACTTAAAGATAATTATACTATGAGCAGCTGATTGACTATTATAACTACGATTTAACCTGTCATTTCGTGTTTATAGTTTCGGTATTTCTGAACTTTCTGGACTTTTCTTTTAAACGTTTTTAAAAACTTCCTACGATCTTAATAAACAAGAAAATACCTTTAAGCATTTTTTTTAGGCGCGGAAACCACTTCAAATTACAAAAACATGCGGAACTATATTCTCAAAACGCGGAGCACATTTCTATAAAAAATAGCGGAGTAAAAATAGCGGAGTGATATGGACCGCGGGTACTACCTTCTCTAGGCCACCATTGTGTTGCCAGCTGAACCTAAAAACGTGTTGCATAGTGTTTGAAAGACTAATTATTTATATGCTTTATAGTGACTGTAGGAAAAATATAATGTGTAACACGAGTGAAAAAGGCCTTTGCTGCACTCGAGATCATTCCACACTCGCCTGCGGCTCGTGCGTAAACATTGCTCTCGTGTGCAGCAAAGTGCCACTTTCACCACTAGTTACACAAATAACTATTGTAAATCTCAGACCATAAGGTGTAGTAGACTAAGGCGTAGAGTGACTCTTTTTGACCTCAGCCCAAGTTTCATAGATTTCACCTTTTGCTTTTTTGGTGAACTACCTAAATTTTTTGTCATATTGCACCAATGTCATATTGCAAACTATGTTACAAAACAAACGTACTACAAAAGCTACAATACCAAAAAGCAGCTGTTTAGTAAGTACTTCAATTAGTAAATTATGTTTGTTACACTAAATAATTGTGTTTTTGTTCATTTTGGCAGAACGGAGTTCAAGTACCTCTTTTCAGAAAATTACAAATATTTACATCAATAGTTTCTAATCACATTAAATAGGTTATACAGGGTGCGGCAGAAAGAACTCCCCTATTAGGAAAGCTAATAAAAACAAAACCAAGTAAGATATGACATTTTTATTGCTATTAACCAAAAACACACATTATGCCATTTTAAAAAATATAAAATTATAGTGCTTTAAATAAAATGTCGTTTTAATAATCGATAATTTAAAATTATCGTGTTTTAAATAAAATGTCATTTAAATGGCGGCCTCCAGTGTTAACACATTGGTTCAAACGTTCCCGGTAGTTGTCCATTGCCTTTCGGGTCATGTCGGGTGAGATGGCTGCAACTTCATGCCTTATTCTTTCCTTGAGGGCTTCCAAACTTTGAGGGCGGAACGTTTGAACCAATGTGTTAACACTGGAGGCCGCCATTTAAATTACATTTTATTTAAAACACGATAATTTTAAATTATCGATTATTAAAACGACATTTTATTTAAAGCACTATAATTTTATATTTTTTAAAATGGCATAATGTGTGTTTTTGGTTAATAGCAATAAAAATGTCATATCTTACTTGGTTTTGTTTTTATTAGCTTTCCTAATAGGGGAGTTCTTTCTGCCGCACCCTTTAGTTCCGGCACTTCATTTTTTTACAAATCGAGCACTGCATTTTACTATTGATATGTAGAACTATTGAAAGGAATGCAACAATAAGCTACAACGGATTAAAACAATCGATAAGGTAAAACACGTTTTACTACCTAGGGAGGAAAAGAGGTACCTACAGTACTTAAGTTCCTCAACGCATGTATTAAAAAACAACAAATTGTTTTTGTTTCGATTTGGTTCATCCAAGCAGATCAATAAATGGCAGGTGCTATCTCACAGTGTACCTATATCAAACATAGATAACACTCCCATCCAAGAGTAATGGTGGGTTAAGTGTTGACTCAACTTATGACCTCTATTTACCTAAGTTGTGTGTGGCGAGAGTTATAAAGTTATATTGCTAAATAATTTTTAGCTTCTAAAATATAAAGCCCCTCAAAGTTTTCCCCGTGTTTCTTATGAATAAAATATTGGAATTGGACTGTGATATCTCTAAAACAGTTTTGGTTTAGTAAAATGTCACAAACTGTCAAAATAACAGAAAGTGGTTGTTTTGTCAATTTTAGATTAAAGTTTTGTGTGAAATATATTTCATACCTACAGTACATAATAATATATTGACTATTGGATACAGAAGTAGACAGCCCATAAAAAAAATAGGATTGCTAAGGTAAGACTGCATAATATCAATTGTATACAAGCAATTCAAAGTCTAAAATGATTAGTTGAGAAATTAGCAATTTAGTATTAGATCAGTACAATCTGTCAGCGGCTCACATCAACTATGACAATTTTGATTTTAAAACTAGCAACAACTTTAACATGGGGATGGAATGTCTTGCAGTTTGGTTATGTTATGATTAACATTTCAGAAAGAAATATTATATATACAGTATATATTTATATGTATTTGATTTTTTTTAGCCAATTGGGGAATAGAAAACTCTTTCTTTAACGTTGGTTGTGTCAGTTTCATTCGTATGTAGTACTACTTGTTAGTAAAGACTTTTATCTTTATCAGTAGTAAGATTATAAAAAATTGTATCATACCTGTAAACAATGTCTGAATACGCACCACTCTTATTTTCAGTTTTGGCAGTATGAAATCTCTTAATAGAAACACAAATCACTTTTTAGCACTCCAAACCCTTACTAAACATAATTGTAAACTTTTACTTCAGTTAAACTACAATAACCACCGGATGTATCAAAATATAGGGAAAACGGCTAAACAGTAAAACTATGTGTTAAGTTCGACATGACTCTGAGTTTAACAATGAAGAGACATGAGTGAATGTGTTTTGAAGAGAAGTGGAAGGGAGAGGTGTGCCCCATACAAAACAATGCTTGGCTAGTGAAGACAATAGCTGCAACTAACTGATGGTAAAACACTGCACTCAGCTAGACAAAATCCATCCTGTTGGCTTCACACTGCAATCCGAAGGCAACATTTCTCCAACTTTGATGAATGCCTCTGACGAGACTGATGAATGACTGCAGCCAGGCAACAACATAATGCAAAACAATGTGCAAAATGCAAATGTTTACGAACTGTTCAAACCTGAAATCCATCTACTCTTTAGACAAATTGTCCAAGTCCGCAGTAGGGTGTGTATTCACTTTCGTCAACAGGTGTTGGACCTTATAGTGGTGTTTGAAACCAAAGAAAAATAATGACAGAACGTGACTTATACTTGATGGGGGCAAACAAATTTTCTTTAAAAACGTTTTTGTTTACTATGAGAAAAATAATAGTCCCATAGGGGTGGTAACTGGCTCGAATAGTATCGAAAGAAGTAAAAGACCTCAAAATTGGTCTTGAGTGTGTAGTGTCAGCTGATGTTGCCTTAGCAACCATTATGATTCTTATTGTTATTGGGATTTTTGTATAGGAATGTTAAACGTAGACACTTGTAACTCTTCTATTGAAATACTTATTGTTTGGTCGTAGGATTATTTGAAATGACACGAACAACCACGACCCAAATGGTGACCCCGAAGTGATTTGTTATCTAAAGAGTGTTATTTTATTTAAAGAGTTTTATCCTTTTGTATTTCCTCTAACAACGATGTCATTGGAAGAGCTGCAAACTCAACTCGAACTTAGAACTGCGAATGAAGAACTGTATCAACGGATCTGACAACCCAGCACTTCTCAAAATATTTTGATCGACAGAGTAGCTGCCATTTTGACCTGAAAGACCAAGTCTGTGGTTCTGCCAAGTTGACACACAATTTCTTATAAGTATCTGGAATAACCAACGACGACACGTGAATAACCAAGTTTCATTACGTGATCTCGCAATATTGGACACAGGAATTGCTGCTGAGGTCAAAGACATTATAACAAACTCTCCTCAAGGCGATAAATATGGACACTTAAAGAAGAAACTGATTGAACGCCTCTCTGCATCCGAAGAGCAATGTGTGCAGCGGCTGCTGAGTGCTGAGTGCTGAGTGATGGAGATTGAAGCCTTCCCAATTTTTGAGGCATCTTAGGTCTCTTGCGTGCTCGACTCCCCTTCAGGGCAACATGCTTCGTCAAATGTGGCTAAGACGACTCCCTCCTCATTCACAAGCCATATGGAACTTGAGCATCTTAAAACTTGAACTTCTTTAATCTTGAATCCTTAGACAAACTGGCCGAACTTGTGGATAAGATCGTGGAAGTGGCTGATATTCCTTCGACACCTGGTATTTGTGCAGTCTCTTCAGGTAACGCTTCTTTATTAAACGCAATAGAATCCCTCTCTAAACAAGTTCAAGCATCCAAAAGTCTTGAGTTGAACTAACTCGATGGAGACCTTAATGTACTGTAGACAACACGTGTAGTTTATGTCTTTAAGGCAAAGAGGTGGGCTATTGTTTCTGGCCACTACAAACTCTTGGCAGTTGAAAAATGCTACAAAAAAAACTACTTGCTTTTTTATGTAAGAAAAATCTTGCTATAATATGTACCGCGTTTAGGGTATTTGTGGACCCAGGCCAAATTAACCCCAGAAACCTCCGTCCCTCACGTGAAGTGGGTGCAACTTCTCAGCAATCGCGGTGATATTGTGAAGTTCTCCGACGATTGTTGAAAGATTATTAATTTTGTAAAATATCCAATTATTAAATGGAAGTTATATAACAGATGAACAATATAATGTTGGAGGAAATGAAAGTATTTTATTCCCTCCACCATACCTCTCTGATTCTCTTCCACATTTAAGCCTCTTATCAACCATGTTTACTGAATCCTTAGTAAACCACTTACCTAATACCATTGACTATAGTCAAAGCTAATCTACACTGTTACTTACATTTCAAAATCCTCGTCTACACAAAATTGTATTAGCTAAAGTATTTTGTTTTAAAATAAAAATTGTCTCTTACCTTTGTAAGTTTGGTGCAGTTTCAGGGCTTGTCCCACGTCCCACTTACTGTACCACACCTAGACTGACAAAGTGACTTATCTCTTATCATCCCGAGATAAGATAAGGTACAGCAGATTACCTTCATGATTCACTGGTGAAGAACCAATCACCTGTTTGTTTGAACAATCAAATTATTTTATTTAATCATACTTCATTCAATGTTAATCATTTTTCATAACAATATTGTGTTATGGGGAAGCTAAAAGATTTCTAAATATATGAAGGTGACTTGACATTTGGTTTGTTAAGTTTTCTTTAATATCTCATATTGTTATTCTCATAGAAGTAGTGTAAATTTTTATAGGATTACAAGTGCTGTATTTTACAGATTCCTGGAATTTGTATTATTCATATTCATATAAGCAAATTTCCCGTTGACTGTTAACAAAAGTTCCGTAATTTTTTACATCAAAAAAAATTTTTCAACCCCTCTAACAGGGTAGGGGGTAGGGGGAGACTTATTTTTTTCAAATAACAACCCCTATTGAGTGACCCCTCATTTTGAAGGATTTGTCAAAAGAAACACAATGACGCAAACCCGAGGTGGATATCTCACCCCTAGCCAAAATGGCAGGTATTCCAAGATTTTATTGACTGTATGTGAAAAAGCACAAATTTCACAAATATGGAAACAAATCTGTATTTTTAAAACCGTAATAATTAGAAATATTCTGTTTGTGGAATTGATTGTTAACATAGGCTCAGCAATTTTTTTAAATCAACAGTATTTTTTAACCCCTTTAACAGGGTAGGGGATGGGGGTGATTTATTTTTTAAATAACAACCCCTATTGAGTGACTCCTCATTTTGAAGTTTGTCAAAAGAAAAACAATTATGCAAACCCAGGGCCGTCCCTAGGGTTGGCGGCGGCCTGGAGCAAATGTGGTTTGGCGCCCCCCCCCCCCCCCAGTAATAGTCACATTCACATATTTTAATACTATGCTAATACAAATAGCCGCTGCGCGGCGCCCGGGGCAGCTTGCGGTTGCCCCCCCCTTCGGACGGCCCTGTGCAAACCCGAGGTAGATATTTCATCCCTACCTAAATGGCGGGTATTCCAAAATTTGATTTATGTGAAAAAGCACCCATTTTGGAATACCCGCCATTTTGGGGGTGAGATATTCACCTCCGATTTGGTCATTGTGTTTCTTTTGACAAGCCCTTCAAAATGAGAGGTCACTCATTAGGGGTTGCTATTTGAAAAAAATAAGTCACCCTCTAACCCCAACCTGTTAGGGGATTATACAATTTGTTTGGTGTAAAAAATAGCGGAACAGAATCAATGCTACAAACAGAGTATTAGCGAATTTCCCTATAGGGAAGTAGCTATTACCGTAGGTCTCATGGTAGACCTAAGCCCGGGACCGATTTACTTTTTCATTTTGATGTCCCCAGAGGCCAAAAAGACCATTCGTTCAAATTTTTATATATATATATATATATACTAGCTGACCCGGCGAACTTCGTATCGCCTAAGTTATAGGTTTCCCCTAAGACAGACCGATGGAAAGAAAGTACCGTTACGTTTAATTTTCAAGATGATCTCGTTCGCATCGCTCAATCACGTCCTGGTTGAAGTTCGTTCGCTACGCTCACTCACCTTTGGGTTGGAGCTCGTTCGCTACGCTCACTCACCTTTAGGTTGGAGCTCGTTCGCTGCGCTCACTTGCCTTCAGGTTAGCTCGTTCGCTACGCTCACTCGCCTCCAGGTTGAAGTTCGTTCGCTACGCTCACTCACCTTTTGGTTGCAAATTAGCTGTTGTCATAAATGTAAAAGAAATAATAGTGCTGCACCCTGTTGGTAATCCTTGTAACTTTAATGCTATTGAACATCATAGAACAGAACCAACTTGTTTAATTGAAACAGCTGTTAAGATTCATTAATTCCATTTCTCATAAGGTTAACATGGGAAACTCCAGAGCCACTGGGGCGGAGCCCTTTTAAGAATTTCGAAACGGGAAATAGTTTACGTCCGATTCGCATACCTACAGAATTTACACACCAAATTTCATAACGATCGGTGAAGTCGTTCCGGAGGAGTTTGCAGACAAACACTGTGACACGAGAATTTTATATATTAGATATACCGGGTGTCCCACGAAGGGGTTTAAACGTTTGATTTTATATTACAAGCCCATTCATGCACCGAACTTTTTGAAACTTTACACAGTTTACAAAGTAGGTTCTAAAAATATTCTGGAAAAATTTCAACTCACTAACCTTAGTAGAAACAAAATGGTGGCATATTGACAAATTTACCAATGTGCTTTCTATAAAAACTACTTTCATGATTTATTATTAGTTATTTATTTATTATTATTATTATTATTTATTAGTTATTTGATTTATTTTTAGTTTTCCATTAGGCTATGTTCTAGTTTTTTTTATTTAAAAGTCATATTGCCCTGGAAAGTGACAATAAAAATATTTTTTAAAACCAAAAATACATTTTTTAATGTTTTTAAAGTAACGTTTTTCAATATGCCGCCATTTTGTTTCTACTAAGGTTAAAGAGTTGAAATTTTTCCAGAATATTTTTAGAACCTACTTTGTAAACTGTGTAAAGTTTCAAAAAGTTCGGTGCATGAATGGGCGCGTAATATAAAATCAAACGTTTAATTTAAACCCTTTCGTGGGACACCCTATATATATATGTGTGTGTCCATCCGCACGATAACTTGAGTAAACTTTGCCAGATTTTGATAAAATTTGTTTTGAAGGTGTAAGGCGGGATAAACTTGAATGAGTTCACGAACCAGCATGATCGGACTATGGGAACTGGGGTTTATGGGGGGTGTTATGGGGTAAAAATAGGTTTTTCCCATTTTTGACCCTAAAAACACAAAATTTCACAATTTCATTTTAAACCATTTTGTAGAGCTTAAAAAAAAACAAATAATTTAGTATATTGAAGCGTTATTATGCGCCTAATTGTTACGGAGAAAATTCAAAAAAATTGTAATTTTAAAATTCCCATGTTATTCTTATGGAGAATAAGTCAACTGTTGTAGTTTGCTTGTTTATGAACATATTTTGATCAAATTTGGAAAATACATTAATTTCTTACTAAACCACAGTACCTTTTATTATTTTACATTAAAAAAAACTTTTTTACCCTCCCTGTTGCAGCAAACCTAAGTACTCATTAAATTAATTCTGTTTAAATAGGGAATAAATGTGATATTTTTAAGGAGACATTTTAGTTAAAATCCAATCAGGCAGATGGAGATTCGCTAAGTCTGCAGGTTTGCTGCGGCGGGGGTATTTTGTAATATTACATGTCATTCATTCATCATTAACATTAATTTCTCTATTATTTTGTATATTTTCTCTCATAATGTCTGTTAATGCCCCTGATAATGTATTATCAGTTATTTAATATGTTTCTCCTTGTTAATGTGTTATTTTATCAAATTTTGTTCAATGTTATATAATATCCCATCACCCCACAGAAACATCATCCTATTTCATGTTACAATAAAATATTTATGCAAATTCTCTCCATACCTATTAAGTACTCATCAAAAACCAACAATAATCATTTATTTAGAATAATATATAATTGTAAGAAAATTGCAATATAGTAATAACATCTTAAATATAGTATTATTTTTCAAAATTATCCAAAGAAAATCAAAATTACTGTGGCAAGTGTCATTCATGTAAATTTAACCAGCTGTGCATCATTGCAACAATGGACATGGACTTCCTGAGCTTCTACCATTGCCTCTCCCCAGATCCTGCCAACTCTTCACAGTGTGAACATCATTCTATTGGAAATTGTGTTTGATTTAAACTAAAATTTATAATCCCAAAGTAAAACCTATATTTTAAATTTCTCATCATCCAAAAGTATTGGACAAGTGCATTGAAGAGTACAAATTTATAAGAAGACAAACACTCCAAATTTGGTAACCATCATCCATCTTATTTAACTAAGGACAAATTTAATCTTCATTGGATATTTAATCAGTATAGCCTACTAGGCCCAATTAACTCAACTCATCAAGATATATACATATTTCAAATTGAACTTTTATTCAAAATTTAATCTTCAAATTCTATTTTATTTCATTAAATTCAGTGAAACCATTTGGAATCTTTCTTTGGACATTAACATTATTAGCCTATATTAATAGCATCATGAACCTAGCTTAACTTATTTCAGAACAATAACTAAATTAAATTATTTGCATTTTAAAGAAGCCTAATATATCATTCGAACCGGCACGACCACCCCTCCCTGGATTAAGAGCTCATAGCCTATTTAAATATTAATTAGTGTACTTTAGAAGAAACCAGCCCAATATAAGCCTAGAATCTTTTGATCCACTTTGGAACCCCCACCATTTTGAAAATTTACCATTGTTAACTTACCCTGTAACTAAATTCAACCAATAACTTATCTTATATTTGTATTTCATTAATAAATTTTATATTGTAACTTACCAAATCTATTTATTCTTAATATAATTCATAATTATAAGATTAAGACAAAGACTTACCTTATTAGACAGAAACAAAACACAAATTAGGAATTATCTTTATTAAGAAATAAAAATGACTTTCAGTTCAATGTGGGCTAACTTAGTAGCCAAAGGAATTTTGTAGGCCTAAGTTAATGAATAGCCTATAGAAAGCTTTATGGTGCGTAGCAATTTTTATCTATTTCGGTTTTAATAATACAGATTTGTTTCAAGACTTGATTATAGCATTGATTATATACTTATGGTAAACATTTTTGTGAGATGATCATAAAAATAAAAACTTGCACTATTTGTTTGAAATTCACACCTTAAGATGGTTGTTGTGGAAATGTCCGACTGATATAATCTTTCGAATAAGAGGTATGATTAGTTTTTGTACATGAGCATTTACCGGTACAAAAAGTATTATTGAAACTTGAAAATTGTCACAAAAATTGTATTTGGCAATTCTATTTAAACAAAATCCTTTTTATAATAAGGTTCTTTTGTCTATTAGTGATTTGATTTCAAACAAAAGCTGAAGGTTTTTTGTCCCCTTTCACATGTTGATGTTAT